TCTCTCCCCGTTTCTTGGTGGGCACTTGTAAAGACCAATGTTTTTTCTTCTGTGGAAGAATTATTCTTGAAATCTATTTTTGAAAAGAAATTGCAGAGCTTGGTAGCGGAGTATCCTGGCAATGGAATAAGGAATTGAAGTGAATTTCATAATTAGAGGAATAACTTGGTGAAGATAATCTGGAATACGGTAATAACATGAAAAAAATATGACGTCACAAGGCGTTTCTGCTTAAATGAGCTTAAATGATTTACCTGGAATTTAAAGCAAGCATCGAAAAGCTATTTTGCCCTCAGCCAAGCTTAAGGCCTGATTAATGTCTGTTGTGGTAAAACTTTCGTTTGCCTTTCAGAAGCGCCCAGAAGAACTTGCCAAAAGGAAGAGGTAGTTTTAAATTTTGCTAAAAAATCTTCGAAATTGTATTTTTCAATATTACATATGAATTCTCACAAACCCATTCCCAAACTTAAAGAAGAGGGAGACCTGAACGATATTCGTAGAAAATTTACTTTCTTCATAAAAATATGCTGCTTGTTGCCACTGTACCTATTTTATTTTTGTGTTTTCAATTGGAGTCACATACGCAATGCAACTGTTAGATAACGGAGTGCATCTGTTGTGCACCACGGCTGCATATGTCGAAAATGCGAGACCTGTGACATAACAAGAAGGACTGTAATCTCAATGAGGTCTCTGTTGTTGTAAGTAGGATCATTAGGATCTGGCGAGGGATACGAGAAAGCTTCACATATCAATACTACAATGAAAATGCATTTTTCCTGATTTTACTTTTATCGCTCATTTGCATAGACTGTATGAAGACATTGACAAGCTAGCAAGAGAAGCACTTGGAATCAGCGAAGAACCAAAATCAGCAGGTATTTCTGTGAAGTGAAGTTTACTTGATATTTTAATCGTTATTTTCTGTTTTGATCTTCCTCACAAATGTTGCTGGAGTTTGTAGACAGAGTAGACAAATTTCTATTAAAAGAGACCTGTGATCAAACTTAGTCATTCCATAATTTTTGTCTGCTATTAATTGCCACCATTTGTCACAAAACGTTTTAAGCAAACGAGTTTTCATCAACGTGCTTTTTTTGAAGGAGCCACACTGCTAGGAGTACCTGATGGTCTTAACTCAAAGATCAAACAATAAAGCTGTGTTTCCCTTGGTACGTTCTGGCAAAGTTCATTAACCCCCTTTTTTCTCAAATTTTAGAAAAAGCGAAAAGCAAGCTGAAAAGTGCAGTTAACAAGATAAAGAATGCTTCCATATTTGGTAGGACCAGTCCTAGAAAGAAAGATAATAAGTGAGTTTGTCATTTCTGTCATTTCACCAGTATTGTATCAACATGATTATTATAATTAGCATCATGATCAATTTTCAAACATTAGCAGTCACCATATTTACAATCAATAACAAATTTGTCATGACAAATTTTGTTCTTAATAGATCGACAAAAATAAGGACTATTTGTTTCACTTGCTAGCTTTGAAGATATCATCAACAAACTTAATTATTTCACTTACTGTAAGGAAAAGTCGTCAGAGCCTTTCCAAATTGTATATTCCCTTCCATGTATTTTAAAGGGAATCCAGTAGTCGACCTACCAGCTTTATAAATGAGTCATTTGACGAACCACCTTCACCCAAGACTCCGAAGCTGGCGAAGTCGAACCAAAGCATCGAAGAACTTAAACCCTTGCCTGAACCAAAGTCAACACCAAAGCAAGAACTTGAATCTGATACCAACGATGCAGTTTTTGATGACATCAGCGATAATTCTCAGTGGGAGTCAGAAGAATCAGAGTGAGAAATTTCTTTGCTCGTACCCCGCTATCCAAAGTGCCCATCCCTTGAGAATCTCTGAAAGCCAAGGGCCTCTAAATTTTTGGTCTAGCTTATTTACCTTGGGGTGATTTATGTCACATTCTCCGAATTTTTGTGTTGATGCATTTCAAGACCAAGGTCTCTTTTGGGAATAATGATTGCAGTCTAAATAGCAATGTGACTCACTTGCAAAAAAACAGAATGAGAAAAGAATATTTTCGGCCAGTTGTAATCGATTTGAGAATTGTGAAAACAGAAGAAATGTAATTTGCGCCATGTAGATTTTATTGACAAGCACAATGATTACCCATGGTTTTTGCGAACCTTTGCGGCCTAAAGAGAACTCTTGAAACCTGAAGATGTGTATTTGTTTACCCAAAATGATTTTGAAAACTTCATTTTATCTCTTAAAGTTACGAAAGCCATAGTCCTCCTGGAGGCACAGCACTGCTACCGAAAGTCACCGTGGTAACTAAACCAGGAGAGAAAGAGATGGGGGTAAGTTCTATTGCCTTTTACCTTGGTTCAGAGGAAACTATTTATTTAAGATTATGTTAAATAAAGTAAGCAATTTTAGTAATCAATGTTTGCTAGTCAGCATTTGTTAACCAGCTCTCTGAGCAATGTTTATTGCGTTTAGGAAGAGTCTTGTATCGAGAAGAAGTTGCTATTCACCGCCTGTCTCTCCCTGCCAAAAGTGTATAATTCCTTCCACTCCCTGGAGCAGCTTCCATCCCAACATCTTAAATTTGCTACCCACCAATAATACCTTCCCTGCCCATTATCCTTCCATTTTTTCCATCTGCCATATTTCCGCTGCCATGGTGCTATTGACAGCTCATCCAGCCCCTAAGTCCCAATAATGCGCTTGCACCCACCCTACTTCTAGAATTTGTATGAAAGGTTCAAGGCAATGTTAATAACACAGTAGAAGGATTTAAGCAATTAAGCACATTTAAGCAATTTAATTTCTAGATGTTTTGCTGTGTTTTTGACAAAATGTTTCGGTACAAATCCGACCTAGTTAAAGTATGTTTTTATTCTTTTGTCTTTTTCCTTTTGTTTATTCTTTTGTCTTTTAATCTGACCTAGTTAAGCCTTTATTATTCTTTAACTACTCTGCTAATTATCTTCCATTTTTCGCAATGTAATTGCAAACTTCTTTTTTCACCAAAGACATCTTCGCCAAAGGTTTCGATGCGAGAGCCAAGAGGCGAAAAGGTATGCTTTCGAAGACATTATCACTTCAAAAAGATTCAACATGACTGAAAAGCTATAACAGTATATTGAACGCTATAACAAAGCTATAACAGTGAATCTAAGACACCTCTCAGTGTATTGAACATTGAATCATGACAAAAAGGTGATTTATATTCAATTACGAATCGAAAGTAATTCGACAGGAAGAATTGCTCGTTTGATTGGTCTTGACCATTCTTCGCTGCAAACCTCTCACACGAACGAGAGATTCTAACGATAGTTTTCAGTCTACGCGAGTTTTGTCTGTTGTTTTATATAGACCGACTCAAAACGTCAAAAGACTTTACAGCACAATTCACTATTCTTTTATGTGATTTCAATGTCATTTTTTAGGTCCGTGATTTAGCTGCAAGCTTAGAGGCACGTCTGTTTGCAAGAGAGGGCATCAAGAAACCGACTGGAGCCGTCGATCTGCATGACACGTTGAAGAGTGAGCAAGGAGATTTCCAACAAGATTCTAAGGTGAGAAGGAGATGGTATTCTTATTTTTTACTCCCAGTGATTTCAGAAGTATTTCAAGGCTGGAAACAGTAATTCCAAGAACAGAACGACATGGCTCTGCTAATCAGGAAGCTGTATATGCAAAAGGAACTACCTTGGTTTGGTCATAATTTGTTGGGAACCTCTAAAATAGTGGCAGTTCAGTCTTTCTATCGAATATGCAATTACTGCTTTATCTGAGGCATTTAATTAGTAATTAGCCTGATGTTTGGTGATTATGTGCAAGGAAATCTAGTGTGAGGTGCTTGAGGACCTTTTTCTGTTCGTAATGTGAGCCACCTAAAGCTTCAATACTCTTGTGTTGAGGGGTCTTGGATTGTTCACAAAACCTGGAAACAAAACACGTTACAGCTAAAGCTTTTTTATTCACTGTGCCATGGGGATGTGATATTATCCATCAGCCTTCGTTCCTCTTTACAAATAATAGTTTGCACATACACCTCCTTTTCCGTCCCTTTCTTTCTCTTTCCGTCTCTGTACGGCTCTGTCCGGGTCTCTGTCCGGGTCTCCCCGTATTCTACCGTCTTTCCCGCTATTTCAATCCTAGTTTCACAGCCTTTCTCCATGAAGTACGATACTGTTTTATAAGCACTAAAATAGCATTTATTCTGAGCTATCCCCCCCTTAAGTTAATCTCATTACGGATGGAAAGCTCCTCTGTCCGAATTCCCGTCAGGGTGCTAATCTCTAAAACTTGTGCTCTTTATGATTATAATAGCCAAACATTAAGAAATTTGATGATGACGATGATGACGACTTCGATGATTTCGACCTTTCATCCGCAATGGAAGATGACTATCCAGAAATTTCACCAACAAAGTACGTATTTGTTCTTCTTTGTAACTTTAAGGTTTTAATGATTCCCCTAAAATTGAACTTTCCTTTTATAGTATAAATTTGATTCCTCTTTTCTGTTTAATACCTGCAATGATGTTTCTGTTAAATGCTATTAGAAATATTGCTTCTGCGTTTGCAACGAGCTTGTAGAAGGAGATCTGGACAGAGAGCAAGCTTCTAGAAGGACTGGGAGGGGGTGGGAACGTTCTCGCAGGGAAAAATAGGGCTGATAGCAAGGCTGTAAAAGAAGCGAGGGACAGGGAATGAGCAATCAATTTTCATGCCGTCCTTATAGCATTGCTGCAAACCAGGGCTCAAGAGATGGTTAAGAATGAGATGAGGTGGACCCCCCCCCCCCTTGTGTGGGTGTCAAAGAAGGAGGTTTATCGTTGCAGACACGCTTCAAGTTTGTACAGTTGTGTATAGATATCAAGGAAGCTTTTTAACCTTCACTTTTTTCGTTTTAGGAGTGAAACAAAACGGCAAAATTTCGGTGAGTGTATTGAATTGTATCTCTCTTGTAATTAGTACAACTAGCGAACGATATTCTTCAAGTTGCTGTTGTTCAGAAAGGGTTCCTACAGTTGAATCCCGTTAAGTCGTACCGATAGCTAGGAATTTCACTATGTCGTACCGATTTTCAATTCCCATCGGACTTTCGAACCCTATTCAAATAGGAAAACGTACCACGGATGGTTCGGGCATACGCTAGGTCGGATAATTTCCTGAACCCCCTTGCAGATTAGATTTTTGCCAGATTTAACTATAGATGCCTGTCTCTTGTTTCAAGTCTTTTCGTTAGGCCGTTACCTTTCAAGAAATGTTACTCAAGGAATTTATTTCAGCACGATCATACTCTTCAGTACATTTTGGAGATTGGACGCTGGAATGGATTCAACTACAACCGTGGAAAAAAGTGTTGAGATTTTTCGTTCCCTGATATCTCTGCTAGTAAAAAAACGTACCTACCTTGGAACTCTTTGTGAATCATGGCATCAGCATCAGTAGCCCAGTGCAGAGTTTCATGCATCAACGTGCTTACCCTAAACCTATCTTGTTATGTAATGCCGTCATTAATATAGCTGTTATCTACCCTAAATTCAAGATTCGCCTTCCCTAAACTTGCATATGCTAGCGCCTACTAAATGAATTGGTGTCGTGGTTAACAAAGATTTTTTATATAAGGTTATTTTGAAAGTATTGCTAAGTGCTGTTCATAGCCAGAACCAGATGACGTCATGTCTATTTCGGCTGTGAATCGCCCAGAATGTTATATTTTGTTTTTAACATTGATTGAAAAATAAAATGAGAAACGTATCGAATAACCTTGAATGGGGGTGGGGGTAAATGTTTGACTATAGAATGGGGGACTATAGATGCACGTAACGTTTTGAGGATTTGTGTCAACAGCTGCTGCTTTAAGGAAAATGCTTATGCCCAGATATCTAATCTAAACCCGAAGAAAAATGTCACAGGTTTTCTACAAATGATTGAGCTGAGGAACTTGGTTAGCCAAGGCTAACATTAACGCAACGTTTCATCAGGTGTTTGCGACATCAAGAATCGTGTCGTCAGAGCCTCGTATCCAAAGGATAATAACGAACTAACTGTTGAGCTTTCCTTCATTCTAGCTTCTTCAAGGCCGCTGCCTCACGCCGGAAGCTCGTCAAAGTTGCAGGGAAGCCAAACCGCTATCTCGAAATTCACTGCGGATGATGATTTTGATAATGACAGCGATCTGGGACTGTGACCAAAAGAAAAAATATCTTGCCAAAGACATATTCCACCCAACGATTGCTGTCAAAAATGATAAAGGAAATCACACCCAGGGCAGACCCTCAGAAACATTTAAATCAATCTCCCTCGCAAGTTAGGACTTCTTAATTGTGTTTCCCATTGCTGTTACGTTAAAGCTAACTGTTTGTACTTTACAAAGCGAACATTTTTTTTTCGTTTTTTACTAGATATTTAATAGAATGGTTTCGAAGAAATCATCATACTCGTTCGATAAATTGCCATCATTCTTTTCAACTTCATTCTTGTGCAATCTTAAGTCAACTAATCCCAAAATTGCTCAACTGCTGTAATTTATGATAGGGTAGGATGCGTCTTTACTTTCAAGATCTATTCTGTTTGGGGGGCGAGACTTTTGCAAGGCTATAGCCTTATTCTTTCATAAAGATTAACTCGTCTAAATCAGTGTCTAAATCAGTGTTAATTTTTGAGAAAATTCATACGTTTACCCTTAACTTAGTCAAAATTCTCATTTGTTGTGATCATTAAAAAGAATTTTTTAACATGTTTAACAGAAAAGAAATTTCGAAAGATATTGATGAATTTTCTTAGCCTATAGTCTTGCTTTTCTTAAAAATCGACCAATCTGAAAAATTGTTTATTTTTGAAAAGTACAATTTTTCTTCCAAAACTTAGCTGAACTCTTTTTGTCTCTGATAATATAGAATCAAATAAACTTATTTTTGGAAGAAAAATTTCTAACAACAAATTGACCAGTTTTCTAAGCCTATTGTCTTACTCAACAGATTGATCCATCTAAAGCCCTGTTTACACTACACAAACTAACCTGGGTTCGCCCTAGGTTAAAAGTAACCCGGGTCGAACCCTGATGCGTTTACAATGGAAACTGTCGACTTTGTAGTGTAAACGGAATCAAGGGCGGACCTGGGTTAGTTAGATATCGACGCATGCATAACATACACAAATTGAAGGCGAGGATGAACAAAATGGCGGCGGTCAACGTGTATACTGTTTGTCAACTTTACAGAATACAATAAATCGACTTTAAAAACAATTATTCCCAGTGCGGGCTTCGTACAATGAGAGAATTCCGGATTCGCGCTTTGCTTTTTTTTGCATTCGGCGCCATTTCCGTCACTACGCATGCGTCCTAAAGAAACTAACCCAGGTTCACCCCAGATTTGCGTTTACACTACCTACACTTTATCTAAACTAACCCAGGTTCGACCTAGGGCGAACCCACCTTTTGAGATGGGTTGACTAACCTGGGGCAAACCTGGGTAAGTTTGCGTTTACACTACAAAAATCTAACCTGGGTTAGTTTTAACCTAGGGCGAACCCAGGTTAGTTTGTGTAGTGTAAACAGGGCTTAAAACAACGTTAATTGTTTTTAAAAATACTAGGTTTATTCCCAATTTAGATTAAATTCTCATTTGCTCTGATAATGAAAAATCACTGTTATTTATTAAGCAGAAAAAAAAATCGAAAAGATTTGACGAACTTTCTAAGCCTTTACTTTTTATGAAAAAAGTAAATTGAGAGGGACGCTTTTTGAGGGTGGACGAATTTAAATTTTTGATTGTTTTAGTGTGGATCTTTCCATTGGTGGTCGCTTTTTAGAGGAAATACGGTGTCCCATTCTAAAGTATCTTTTGCCTTACCTTTTCACTTAATTCAAGAAAGTAACGTCTTTGCAAAATTTGAGTATTTATGGTAAAAAGGAAGGAAAAATATAATACTTGTCTGCTTAAGAATAAAGCAAGAGCCTTGCAAAATAACTCGTTTTTTAAAAGATAAGGCTTTTGGCAAAAGAAAGCCTAGGATTAATAGCACTGTGGGTAGCTAAGAGAGCACAGAATTTGCTCAAAGATAAGGCTATAGTCTGGCAAAATCACTTGCTTTCAGAGGATAAGGATTTTGACAAGAAACAGCCTAAAACACAAATTTTTTTATAGCGTATATTTGCAAGTTACTCATTTCAAGAATGTTAGCTTTTTTAGAGCCAAAGCCTCAGATCTACCGCAAAATGGGAAGAAAAAAGAAAAAATATTTCCAGTCTAAAGATAAGCCTACAGTCTTATCTATAAAATAACTGACTTAAAGAAAATAAGCTTTTGTAGAAACGAGAGGCTGGAAACTATGGCAAAATAGAAAGAGAATGAATTCTTACTTTTCAATTTATCATAGACCTTCGAAAAATTGCAAAATGTTTGGCAAAATTGCAAAAATTACAAAATGGTTGGCAAAGAAATTAGTTTTGAAAAATTCACATTTTCATTCTATATCAAAGGCTTTAGGTTGACAATAGTAACTGTTTTCGAAAAGATCTAAAATTTTGGGCATCAATCACGTCTTGGGCCAAATCATTAATCATGGAATATAGTTATATAATTGATTTTATGTAATTGAGATGTATATGAACAATTGCCAAATATATAAATAAGTAAAACCTCTTGGAATTTTTGTACAAATGAACGTCGATTTTATGGAAGGGAAGACATTGTATTTATGGACGGAGATGTTTTCTATTGACTGAAAACCCCTTTCCTCCCCTTTTAAAATTTCACCCTCCATCCCCAAAACCATAAACCCCCCCCCTTTTCTGCAAGAACGTCTTTATGTATGACTCCTTACCAGATAATTGAAAAATCGGAACGCTTTTGACAGAAATAAGTCGTATTTGAAAAGTATTTATCTATACTGAAAGCAATGAAGAATTAAGAAGAATGGAGTAATTTCAGTGACAAAAGCAATTTTGAAAAAGAATACCACAGATGCTGCTGAATCAAATGAAATAAAGAGCTGTAAATCGAATAATTGGAAAAATAATGAGAAGAAAACTACAATATTTGATAATTTCCAATTTCTACCTTTTTAAGGTTGTATCTTTACTAAAGCCCTGGCAAAACGACTGAACATTTCGCTAAACATTTCACTCAACTTTTGTTTAGTGAAGTTGAGCGAAGTTTCACGAGGGTGGCAAAAGGTGACTAAACTTTTCACTAAACTTCACTCAACTATTTTGAACAGCTAGCTAGCTACGACGCTGTTGGGTTGTTGGGGATCTTGCATAGGAATTTGCTTTTGGTTTATTTTGTTGCATGCACAAACAGTGGATAAAAATAAGAATCGGATGAAATGACGGGGAAAGGGAAGACTTTTTAGCACATTGACAAAAAATTTGACTGTTGAAGAAGACACAGTGGCGTACAACGAGATATTCAGATGTCTCATGAAGGCTTTTTGGGTCACGTAGAGACAAGAAAACCAACGAAAACAGACGAAAACCTTTGGATTTTCACAGCTAGAGCGCCTGCGCGATCAAAACAAATGTTTAATTGGTGGCAAAACGACTAAACATTTGCTAAACAACACTAAACAAAGCTAAAACATTTTGACCAGGATCAAACTTTGCTAAACAACACTCAACACGACTAAACAACACTGAACAGGGTGGCAAAACGACTAAACTTTTTACTAAACTTTTAACTAAACAAAAGTTGAGTGAATTGTTTAGTGAAATGTTTAGTCGTTTTGCCAGGGCTTAATGAGTAATGAATTTTATTTAAATGTTCAATGTTAAAGAGGTTTATGATTTATAAAAAATATCATAAAGAATACAACATAACCTTGGTAGATATGACAAAAAGATACAAGTAAACAGTTCTGAGTAAGCCTTTGAGTCTAAGTTCTTTCTTGACATTAACCGAAATGATTTGATCAGTTATCATAAAGGTACTGTGTCCATATAAAAGGATTGCGTATACAAAACTTCTCAAGCCATCCATTAAAATTACGGCTTGCGATTGGTCAGTATTCTTGTGATGCAAAACTGCTCACATGAAAAGTCAAAACTGTAGATAAACAGGACGATGGTAATGGTTGGGGCTATCACATGAAAATCATGTTTCTGAAAACCCCCGCAGAGTTGCTTGCTTTAGCTGGACACATTACCTTTAAGAAAAAGTCGTCTTACTTCACTAGAAAACCATCCCTCAGTGGATCGTCTTCTTCAAAGGTAAATGAGCACTTGCCGGTGTAAAATGCAACACCACAAACTTGTACGCGTACTGCTTTCAATTCACCGCACGTCGTCTCCTCAAATGCCTGTAAAAAAACCTATGATGTTAGGTTGATGACGTGCAAGATTCGAGGCAAAAAATAAAGACATGAAAGAATAGTACAGTCGCTTGGCAGCTGAATTGTGCATTTTATGAAGCATGAGCAAGCTCCGCGGAGACGGGACTTTTTGCCAAAAATGCAAAAAAATTACCAATGAATCACAAGTCAACCCATTTTTTTTTCGGTTTCAGCCCCCCTCCACAACTTTTTTAGACCCACCACTTATCTCAACGCTCCGAGGTGTCTGAGCATGAGAATTGGTACAAGTACACAATTAGACATGGTGAATAAGATGAGATGCTGACCCGACTTCAAAAACGCCCCTAAAAGCTATTTCTAGATTCGGGTACCAGAACCCAGTCCTCTTCTGGGTCTTCCTCCATTTTCTTTAAATTATGCAAGTTAAAAACCCGAAACTTGGTTATCTGGAGTAATTTGAGATGCTAAATAACATGATTATTTGGGAAAAATCGCCGTACATAAAATATTAGGTTAGTCTTCATAACAGAAATTCAGTAATAATAGAAAATAAACTGGTCAGCACTGCCGGATTGGTAAGCGTTTATACACTGAAAAATTACCAATGAATCACCAGTCTAGCTACTTTTTATTTGGTTTTAGCACCCCCCCCCCCAAATTAAAATAGGCCTGCTTTGTTCCTCGGTTATTTTGTAAAAAGGAACCTCCTCGCTTCATTTACTGAAAGACGCTGAGACGACCGATAGTAGAACAAAACGATGACCTCTGAAGCAATAATATTGCGTTACTTGACAAATGCATGTGTTCTATTGTGTTGGCCATCTACTTTAGTCAGAAGAATTCAAATTTGTATCAAAAGAGTTCCTGAACAGTAGCGAAAAGATGAATGCAAATAGCCTGGAATGAAAAACAGCGAACATCTGAAAAACAGCAAATGCATGTTTCCTGTTGTGTGGGTCATCTTATCATCTAATTACAAGAATTTGAATATGCACAAAAGAGCTATCTTTCCCTTTACAGTAGAATTAGCAACATTGATGCAGGTGACAACAGCGTGGAATGAAAAACAGTGAACATTTCTTGGACACCTTTTACGAGACATTGAGATAAACGTATATGCATTATGGTGAAGGCCATTCATTTTCATCATAAAAAATGTAATGTGAGCTAGCCTATAATGACAAGGGACGCTGGTGCTCCTAGTGTCCAAGGAAACTTACTTTATATCTGAATAGAGTATAAATTCAATCTTCAACTTTGTATCTTTCATTAACGTATCATTAATCAACATGTATTCCATAAATTGGATATATGTTGCTGAATTACATGAATTTGAATTTTGTTTATATTTCACAAAGCTTAGCCTCAGAATCTATCTACAGGGCCCTGTCGTACAGGTTATAAAGCGAAACTGCATCGATTTTCCTCTCTCGGTTGTATTTATTCTTTCTTACTCTAAATATTTGCCTAGAGTTATTGTCCGTTTCGCTTTAAAATTGCAGCAAGATAACATGAACAATCGATAAAACTGCCATGACACCAATATGCTTACGATTTTTTAGTTTCTTAGTACCCTGTGGTATCCTTGATTCAATTGGCTCGCAACTGTCAAGGTGCTTTTGATTTGCTTGAAACGAACAGGGCCTTTCTCGATTAGGTTGCAACGCTCATCAACCCTTGCATTCAAACACATTGCTCCCGCCATTTTTCGCCATTTGCTCCCGCCATTTTTCGCCATTTGCTCCCGCCATGTTGCTCCCGCCATTTTTCGCAAACTTCCAAAATCAATTCTGCTTGGTAAGCGTTCAAATCCTGGGACTTCATTGTTGCTGCGCATTGGGCTATGGACTTCAGGTTTGGAAATTATGGGCAAATGCCACGGAAACTGCAATTGGGGTTGTTTTCGTGGTTCTACATCGCCTCTGCCACCCGGCAAGGAATATCGCTATTGAACATGATTTCAGAGGGCAGAAAATGCAGAAGATGAAACTGTCATTGTTTACACTTTGACCGATGGAAAAAAAATACAAGTTGAATATCCCGGAAATATCGAACTCAGTTATCAGACTTTGATATGGAAGACATTAAGGCAAATGCATGTTTTCTGTTGTGTGGGTCATCTTATCATCTAATCACAAGAATTTGAATATGCACAAAAGAGCTATCTTTCCCTTTACAGTAGAATTAGCAACATTGATGCAGGTGACAACAGCGTGGAATGAAAAACAGTGAACATTTCTTGGACACCTTTTACGAGACATTGAGATAAACGTATATGCATTATGGTGAGGGCCATTCATTTTCATCATAAAAAATGTAATGTGACCTAGCCTATAATGACAAGGGACGCTGGTGCTCCTAGTGTCCAAGGAAACTTACTTTATATCTGAATAGAGTATAAATTCAATCTTCAACTTTGTATCTTTCATTAACGTATCATTAATCAACATGTATTCCATAAATTGGATATATGTTGCTGAATTACATGAATTTGAATTTTGTTTATATTTCACAAAGCTTAGCCTCAGAATCTATCTACAGGGCCCTGTCGTACAGGTTATAAAGCGAAACTGCATCGATTTTCCTCTCTCGGTTGTATTTATTCTTTCTTACTCTAAATATTTGCCTAGAGTTATTGTCCGTTTCGCTTTAAAATTGCAGCAAGATAACATGAACAATCGATAAAACTGCCATGACACCAATATGCTTACGATTTTTTTAGTTTCTTAGTACCCTGTGGTATCCTTGATTCAATTGGCTCGCAACTGTCAAGGTGCTTTTGATTTGCTTGAAACGAACAGGGCCTTTCTCGATTAGGTTGCAACCCTCATCAACCCTTGCATTCAAACACATTGCTCCCGCCATTTTTCGCCATTTGCTCCCGCCATGTTGCTCCCGCCATTTTTCGCAAACTTCCAAAATCAATTCTGCTTGGTAAGCGTTCAAATCCTGGGACTTCATTGTTGCTGCGCATTGGGCTATGGACTTCAGGTTTGGAAATTATGGGCAAATGCCACGGAAACTGCAATTGGGGTTGTTTTCATGGTTCTACATCGCCTCTGCCACCCGGCAAGGAATATCGCTATTGAACATGATTTCAGAGGGCAGAAAATGCAGAAGATGAAACTGTCATTGTTTACACTTTGACCGATGGAAAAAAATACAAGTTGAATATCCCGGAAATATCGAACTCAGTTATCAGACTTTGATATGGAAATGACAAGAATTTGAAATAAATCATTCCCTAAAAATATGCGAGTTGCAATGATATAGAAGCGCCGAAGGCGCTAGAAGTCTAACTCGCGGGTACGCTGTGAGGCAAATTTGTTTACTTCCGCCATTTTGAATAGTGGCAAAAAGGAACTTGCTCCATACTGAGCCCTTATAAATTTGGCAAGAGTAAGGATTGCTTTCGTTCACTTCTCTTTCAAACATCGATGTGAAATTTGGTGAGTGGCCTTATATTGCACTTAAATTTATGAATTAACGTTAATATTTTAAAAATAAGCCGTCATTCGCAAATTCCAAGCATTTACAGTCGCGGTGCTTGCTGTAGTGTTTTAGGTCTCGTCGAAATTCCAGAAAATAATGACTGATCTGTTTTAAAACGGATCCAGCAACAGTGTTTAGCCACTCAATGCATAATTTTCTTAACACATTTGTACAAAGATGTGATTTAGTTCCTTTTCCTTTTTTTGTTCACAGAAACTGCTATGAAATATCTAGGCCTAACTCTAGAAAAAGCCGAAAATAGGACATAATTCAATGCTTGGATATTAATAACAGAATCTAAATATAGTAACCAATTTTTGATTTTATATAATCATTGATATTTTTGGACTATTTCAAAACCACACTCGTTGCTTGCAAATATTTTTCAGCACAATGCGTCCCTCCCCTATTCTTTAGGCCTATAAAATACCTCCGGGATACATTTTCACGACAAAGATTACTAATTTGGCCTTAACAAGAGGAAAGAAATTCGATTCATATCAAATTTCTTTTCTACAAATTCAATTTGACAGACTAAATATAAAACATTCGCACTTTCCTACTCATGCCATATTAGGTTCTAAACGACAGACAGAAAAATTAAAGAATTATATATCTAAAATGGTCTATATCATTAGATAACATACTCAAAAAGTTCTTTCTAATTTATATGAAGATAAAAATTGCAAGCACATACTTTTTCAACTCATGAAAACACGACAGGCCACTGCTATATTCCCCCCGTAACTGCGTAAACTAAAAGAGCCAAATTTTTTTAAAAATCTGTTTAAAAACCCCAAAAAATTGTTATGTGTTGTTGCTTTACATCTCCTCTAACTGCCTGCATCAGAGAAGGCCTTGAAATAGTTGCGAGCCACGAGAAAATCATTCATTAAAACAAGCAATTTTCCATACTGAACCCTATTGCAGCTCGCTTTTTGCCACTATTTAAAATGGCGGAAGTAAACAAATTTGCCTCACTCGGCAGTACGCAGCATGACCCGAGTTAGACATCTATCGTTATCGGTATCGTTATCGTCGCCCGTGCTTAAACTCTCTATTGGCGAGTTGCAACTGCGACGGTTGCAATTGTCTCGTTTAGAAGGAAACCACTGGTATTTGCGAACTCAGTGTAACGTGTTAACTGGGGAATTTCCACTTTCACTAATGCAAACAAACCTGTATCGTGAAAGCCTTTAGGGGGCCCATCCTAAGGGCCCCAAAGGCTTGGGGACTCTTAGGAGTTGCTCGAACCCCACTAACGTCGGTTACGCTCATAATCAGTAGCACATAATAGAGCGACGAGTTAACCCCAGGAAAAATCTTCCAAACAGATTTTGCATCTTCCACATTGATTTGTCGATCCTAATCTGCACTAAACTGAGCTGACGAAACAATGTGATTGCTATTATGAGAATATCAGTGTCGACCGTTTTGATTGCGACTCTTTCATGTCCTGAACTGGAAATACTTTTCACGAAGACAAACATTCTAGGAACAACTTCTTCGTGATTACAAAGCTTTTGGGCGTTTTTAGAGGAATCTCATCTTATTCAACAATCAGGATGTCATTGCAAGTGGGGTGTGTATCTAATCTTATTTAGCATGTCGAATTACGCCAAAAGTCTAAGTTCCGGGTTAATTACTTGGATAGTTTAAAAGATATGAAGAAGGATCCGAATTAGTAATAGGTACAGGTACCCCAGTCTAAAAATAGCATTTTGGGGCGTTTTTGAAGTGGGGGTAAGTCAGTTCTTGTGGATTTCTTTTATAAAAAGAGGGCCTTCATAAATGACATCACACCTGTCCTACCCCTGTCAAAAGGTGAATGCAAGTTCGCCTTTACAAGGAACATTTTACGGCTTGGTTAATTCTACCGAGCGGTTAGATTCTGCAAATCACATGGACGGAGCAACAAAGACATGCTGCTTCACAATGAACCTATTTTTAAAGCTAATTCTGAACCTTGTCTGAACTTATCAAGAATGGTATCAAAGCATCATGTTATAACAAGAGACGACAGACACGATTGGGGAAATTTGATTCAACATGTAAAATAGGCAAACGGAAAAAAATGAATGAAAAATAATTTCAGTTGACAATCAGTGTCACTCCATTACAAGCAAAGATTTTAAAGTTGTTTCCAATCAGAACATTGGAAATAAGAGCGATAAAACGCATGTAGTCACCACTTGCCGACAACATAGACTGGTCGTTCATGAACTATTTATTATTGTGTTATCAATGTTTGTAGCCTGTGGCGAATTAAGGTATTTCATACTTACTTGTCCAGTGAAAGTTGACTTCACAGGGCCATTTTTGAATGTTCTTTCAGCTCGTAAAGGAATCAAATTCTTGGCGAATTGTACCGCAATCCTAGCTGTGACACCAGAACCAGTTGGGCATCTATCTACCTACATATATTAAGGAAAGTCTTAAAAGAAGAAGCGAATTGTTATTTGCTTCTTAATAAGTTTTGCTTCTTTAGATAGCTACGAGTAGCTCCAGTTACTAGAGTAAACATTTTGAAAGTGTAGTGCCGAAACAAACATATATTTACTACAAGGTCCAAGGGATTATAACAATTAATGACTTGCCAAAACACAACATTAATTGTTAAGGGAAATACCAACAATAATAAACTGACATCCAAAAATGTTTTTTGAAGATATTATCCATTTATTCACCCAAAGATTGACTAAAATCATCATGGGCCATTAAACAACCAATAAACTATTACATAAATGTACATCATAATCTAGTATTAGAGTATGATAATAAACCATTACATCTTATCACTGATACCAACCACTACTAAAGAATTACAAAAAATGACTGAAAAAACATCAAGGACAGAGGGTTAACAAAGACAAGATACCTGTCTGTCTGCAAAAACACAGAGATTGGATGTTGGTTCATCAGAGAAATTGTCTTTGCCATCAGTGATTATAGTGCCATACAGAAAAGAGAGATCTTCTTCCTCTGGGTGTAAAATTTTGACCTGCTCTTTCACACAAGTACTTATGGCATCAGCAGCATCTACCAGATCTCGAACCGGTGATGTTTCCACATCAACTCCTAGTTTATCTTGAGACACTAATGCATAAAATGCCCCACCATAGCCAATATCAAGAGTCAATGGTCCATACTTACAAGTGTTTATTGTAATATCAGTTGCAAAAGCAAATGAAGGGACGCTTAAGAATTTAACAGTCATTGGCTTTCTATTCTGCATTTTGACTTCAGTTCTGACCAGGCCACAGGGACACTGTATATTTACTGAATGTGAAGGTTGGTGTTTTGAGTCTGCAGAAGAATAAACAAAAAATCATAGTTCTAAGATGATTATTTCTTTTAATGATCTATTATTTGATGAATTTGCAAAAATTAGTATAATAGTTGAAAATTGGTTATAGAGGCAGGACTCTTGGATAGGGTTGGAGCAATTTCTATCAACAATCACTTACAAAATATAAGTTGCCAAATAGGTATAAAAACACAGTTTAAAGCATATATGGTTAAAAATTCACCAAAATATCAAGATATTTTGTTAAAAATTCTTTAAATTCTTTTACAAATCAACAACTTGATGAATGATGAATGACCAATGATGAATTCTTCAAATTGGGCTATATTTTGATTGCTCATATTTGTGCATGACTCGAAACAACCTTGCAATTGGGCAAAATGGGCAAAAACTGCTTGGTTGGAAGTGGCCAAAAAAAACGTACCGACTGGGATTTTTTTATAACCATAGTCAATAGCGAATCTTCCAAGCGCAATGACAGCATGTCCACACATTGTACTGTAACCCTCGTTGTGCATAAATATTACCGCAATATCAGCTTCTGGATGATCAGGTTTGACAAGCAAAGCTCCATATTGGTCGTAATGTCCCCGAGGCTCAAACATAAGGAGTCTCCTAAGATGGTCCAAATGCTCCCGGACATAACGTCTCTTCTCCAGGATAGTGTCTCCGATAATTTCTGGATACCCAGAAGTTATTATTCGAAGTGGTTCACCTCCAGTATGCATTTCTACAGTTTCTATTAACATTTTTTTGTCTTTTAGTTCACTCCCCGTCTAACTGCACTGATATCTCGTGGACCGTGACAAAGTTTTTTCTAAAGTGATCTAGCCTATCTAATTAGCCTCATTATGGCACAGATTCTGACAAAACGAGACCGAAAAATTTTTCCTCTCTAAATATTTCTTTCTTATAGACCCAGGAGGGGATTTGATTGTTCAAGTTGACGTACCTGTTGCAAAATTTTGGAAAACCCTTAGAGGTAGCTTTTAGCCTAAGCGGTAGTAACTTTTTCCGTAATATATAGATAAGTTTAATTTCAAAATGGCCACGAATAATAAAGCAAACATTTCACAACAAAAGCTTTTTCGTCTGACACTCCTCAGAGCATAAAGATCAAACAAAACTCTGACGAATGTATGTTGTAAAATATTTGTTTTGTACCGTCAAGAAATTGTTTAATGTTTATAAGTTCAATTACATACTTGTACACGTTTTTGTTTCCGACATGTTGTTTTGAGACTCAACATCACTCTTATTGGCCAATCAGAACAGAGGAATATAATTATCTAAAATATACTAGCTCTAAAATCATTTAAGTCAAGTTAAGTTAAGTTGAGCTAAGTGAAGTTTCGTAAGTTTTACTTTTTTTACATTTATTATTTACTTCTAGCTTGCTATTCACAATTGATTTTATCAACTTTTGCGATGACAAGAAATTTTCGGCATTGAACCTTTTGTAACAGCGATATTCTATCAACTCAGGCTTAAGTATTGGAAGATGAGACTTAAAACCGTTATGACAAAATTATGATACTCACTTAAGCCAGTTTCAAACACAGAAGTTTTTTTAGAACATGTCGGCCGATGTGTTAGAATGACATCAATGAAAGAACTACTTTTGTTAGTAAAACATGTTTTAGAAATCACTAGATTTGAAAGCCCAAAGATATCACAAAAGGAATCTAGCTTATTTCGCCCAGTGTCTTGCTGGTTTAGTGCATCAATATTGATATTGAATGTTCTCAGTTGTAACTTTTACACGCAGATTTACGTTTTTGAGACGCCATTCATCAGAAAACTTTAATTTCTAATAAGGATTCTAATGACCAGAAAAACGCCAGACTTTGCATGGCTTAGTCAACCAATAACTTTTCGAAAATTTATTGAAAAATCTTTTGTTTCAAGTCCTACTGTCGAATTCTATTCCAAATAAGGGTAGTAGCCAAGGTCTCTGAAACGACGATCTTGCGGAAATTGCGATAAAAGCATGAAAAACTGCACAAATACACAGTTTGATATGCTGAATAAGATGGGGTCGGGACCCAATCTGTGAAATGCCCCTCAAATACTAATTTTAGAATTGTTCCCAGACTCCTAAATTGATTACCTCTATAACTTTGTTGAAAACGAAATTAATGACATGAAAATTGGTATAAATGCTAATAATAACACGGTAATGCGATTTTGATTCACACCCATCATCAAAATGCCCCAAATGCTATTTTTAGACCAAAAACCTCCAAACGAGTATATGGTCTATACACTCGTTCCCAGACCTCTAACACGCTTATCTCTACAACTCCGCTAAAAATAAAATCAGTAACAAGCAACTTGATTTAGATACTAACTATAGCATACTAAAAGGATTTGGTTCGACACGTATTGACACGGTTTGACATTTTTGTAATTACATTTTATCTTAATTTGTAATTGTCGCACATCTAAACTTGTTGCTTCATGTTTTTGCAATATATGTTAATGACGCTAACATTTTGTTAGAATATGATATTTTTTTCTTGGCAGAAGTCGGCCTTAAAATATCTTATTTGCTAATCCGCCATTGGCAAAGTTGATAGCAACCTGTGCACCTCCAAACCAAACATATGCACGGCTGTTAGTCTGTTAATTGTTATGTAGTAAGGTAGGGCGAATTCATGGCAAACTTGTAGCCTATGTATTAAAATGTAGAACTTTAAGTTTGTGGGCACGTATCCCATTCTGCCGTTATACGCAACAAGGACTTGTTGAAAGTTTTGCCTATCTAATGTCCCTCTAAGGTTTTAAAAGAACGACTGATTGTAAAGACAACAGTTCCAATGCAAATGATCGTAAAGACATAATAGTGGGACAACTACGTAAAAATATTCAAATAGTACTAAGATTTATGAAAAGCCATAAGTTTTATACTTACCCGCAACGAGTAAAGAAGATGAAGAGGTTTGTGCCGTGACAAGGAGATTAAAAAAGGAATAGAGGTTTGTATTCTATGTCTATCCACAATATGCTACCCATAGATGTAAATTTGATTTTTTATTCCGTTACAACAATATACTCAATAAAAGCATTATATTAAAATGCTTTAAATAACAAACACCAATATTTTATTCTTATTAATGGAAATTGAAATAGTTTCTACAAATTCTTGCTGAACTTTCATCTCTTCAAAAAAGGTTCTCAATTTCCGGGAAAAGGCTACTACAGGGCCCATAGAAGTTGGCCCCTCCACGAATTTCAAAGTGGAGGGGCCAACTTCTATGGGTCAAATTTGAATTTAGTGCTTCAGAACAGGACCTCTTTGGAAATATTTTTGCTTACCAAAAAAATGGGGAGTGGGGGTGGCGCGGGCCCTGAACTATTTTATTCATATGCTGCTTTATATCATAATTGAATGTTTTTATATAGACTGCTGAAAGGCCTGGCAACCCAATTGCCCTTGAAACATCGAACATTTTTGGAAGCGTTTAACGTAAAGGATTATTTTATCAATGTGAAACAAATACGTTAAACCTTGATACAGTATTCATATTATAAATAACCACCAGTACTTATTAAAAAACTGCACAAACCCACTTAAAGTCCATTAAAACCCAAACAGTTTTTTGACAGCAACGCGGAACGTTTTCTTCATTGCGGCGAACATCACAAAATTGATGGAGTAATTTGTGTAATAAAGAAGAAGAGCAATCCTTCGGATATTTGCCGCTGCCCGTGGTCCTACAGGCAAGGTTTTGTAAGCTGTGAGGACCATGGATGGTGTAGAAGTCAGGAAATAAAAGATAGTGATGGAAACAATTGCTGCGAGTAGGTTGTTTCTGCGTTGCCGTTGTGGTGCCTGGTTCGTTGCAGATGTGGTGGTTGACTTGGCATGTGAACGCGAATTTTCGCGCTCAGGTGACGGACATTGTGGTAATTCTCGTATATGGCTCAGTGCAGACATGGGCTGCTTCCTTGTGAAATTTTCTCTGTTATCATGTTGTGAAAGTTTGTCAATTGAAGGTTTACTCTGTAATAAAGAGAAAAAAAAAGTAAAATTGAATAATTGATTAAAACAACTCCCTATCTAAATATGAAAACATAGCATACTGAAGTACGCCTCGTCCGACACTCTCTAGAGTGAACACTTACGTAACAAAAGTATTAGGACGATGAAGAACAAATCTTGCTGTTGTAGCGGGAGTCTAGAAATGACGTCAGCAAAAACGCAATTCCTAGTAAATTCAATTTGGTTTCTACCTTTCTGTGATAGAAATATAACAAAATATCAAGGAGAAATGGAAAATATCAATGTTTTTGTTTCAATGCCAAAAACACAAAAACGTCCAAAAAGAGAGCGAGAAGAAATAAAAAATTTGGGTCTAGCGTGTCATTTCGTCCAGAACTCTTGTTCGGTCCTTTGTTTCCTTCAGAGCTCTTGTTCGGCTCTTTGTTTTGAAACAATACCGTCTTAAACCAATCAGTGTTGCAGGGTCATAGCACATGCGCATTAATAACAGTATTCGCACAGCTGTTCTGTTTGGGACCACACAACTTCCCGTCAGGGGTTCAAGTGGTAATGCGCATGAGCAATGACCCTGAAACTGGGGCTAGTGCATGTCTGGGAGACGGGCATGATTTATCTCCCGAACAAACTCTAGAAAATTTTTGGTTACAAATATCAGTTTTTAACCTTCTAAGAGACAACAGTTACATCCCGACGAGCATCCCGAAAGCATTGGTCCCCCTCGGACCTTGGCGTCTCCGAGGGGCAAATCGCTGTTTAAAATCACGTACGCTCTCGAGAATAATCACACTTTAATCACAAATTAATCATATTATTGAAAAAATAAAATTAATCACAAAATATAGCATTAATTACAGAAATTAATTAAAAAATGAATATATATATTAGAATCTTTGACCACGTCTATCCGCATATGTTATTGAAAAATGCAATATTCAGAATGTCTCTGTCACACTTTTTCAAATATTTCATGAACACATCCGAAAATCTGCACACGCTTGAGAACATTAACAAAACAGCTTATGAATTAGTTTACTGTCATGCGTTCAAACGACGTTTATTGCGTATGAAATTATTTGAGAGCATTTTGTAATCTATGATTAATCATAAATTGATCGAAAATTAATCACTTTAATCAATAAAAATCAAATTAATCACACACAAAATTGATTTAATCAAAAATCAATCACTAGTGATTATTATTCTCGTACGCCATTTTTAAGAGTGATTTGCCCCTCGGGCGTCTCGGTAAATAGTGGTCTCAATTATTAATCGCCATGCTTAGTAGAGAACGGTGAGCCCTGATGACGACGATAGCTATGAAAAGGTTGATGTTTTCAGAGAAGAACCACCAAGAAAAAGACAGCGATGAACTACCACTGATCACCCTTTTAATGTTTACGATGCAGAAGATGAACAAGACAAACACGAAAGAAGTGTTTCAGATTCACAAACAAAGCGATGCTAGCTTCATTGTCTGAATCTAACAAAGCGATGTCTGAATCTGAAAATGATAATGATATTTCAGATTACTGACTCTTTCGAGAATTCTCCTTGTCAGTTATTTTCAGCAAACTTAATTCTGTTCCTTAAGTTAGTTACATGTTTTCAGTTACAAGATGTTCAATTCAACCAACTACAACTTTTAGTTGATACATTTAACAGTTTTAGTTTATGCAGATTTCAGTATAGTTCTGCGACACAAAAATCCTATTTTCAATTAAAAACAAAGAATGCTGATTTGACTTAACTAAAAATTGAAAAATCGCTATTGTTAAAATACCTATTGTTGAAATAGCTCGATTGTTCTTAATATCAGAGCAATATGGACCAGAACATTTGTGTACCCGGACCGTTTTGCATTGAATGTTAAATTCTATCATTCGTTTTGGTTCCCAATTGCTTAAAGGCATTTGCGTAAACAGTATGCTTAACGGTAGCTGCCTTTTTAGACGAGGAAAAGTTGACTGTGTTTCATGCAGTATGATATCAGGCCGGTTTTGAATATAAAGTCGCATCGCAAAGCATGCCGGTTGAGCAAGAGCCTTTGAGACTTGGGTACATTTTTACATACCTAAAATTGCTATGCGTTTTTGTACCCGGACCGAAATGCATGCTAAATTCCACCGTTTGCACCCAATTGTTTAAAAGCTTGGAACCAAACTTGCCATTTGACGGCAAACGGAGTGTAACTGTAAACGGAGCTTAATTAAACGTTAAAAAACATTTTAGTACGAGGCTCGGCAAAAAATTTAGAAACTGAGAACTAATCCTGAACTTATTGTCTTGTAAAAGATTGTTGGAAATTGGATTGTTACAAATGTAGTAGTAGTTCAGTATAATTTAAAATTCCACTACATACAACACCAATTATAAACACAAAATAACTGAAGTTAAATACAAACAAATATAAGAAACAAAATTAATTAGCAAATACAAGATTGCAAGAGAAACAGAAGAGGAATTGTATTGTAAGGGAATTTCTTAAGGAGGGGCTCTCTCAGTAGCTAGGCTAATCGAGGAGAGAGCATCCCCTGTTTAAAGTTGATTGGGCAATTTTTCAAGTTTACGACAAAAGCTGCAAGCAGATGATGTATTTTTTATCTCCAGAGAAATGTTATTCCAGCGTTTTGCTCCAAAGAAACGAACTGACCTGATACCATATTGAAGAGTATTTTTCCGACTTAAAGAAACATTATTTAAAATATTAAAATACTATTTTCCAACTTAAAAAAATGAAACGCGCTTCTTCAATTATTTTAGTGCCGCTCCGGTGTCTAAACGAAATTCATAAAGAGAGCTTGGGATGGGATTGTAGCTTAAAAATTGGTGGTTCGAACATTAGTCACTGATTCTTTTAAAATAACGGTTTTAAAAGATGCCATACTTTGGCAGGTCTTTTTCTGTTCTAATAGAGCATTCGAAAACCGCTTGCGCATGATCTGGATATCATAGACGATTAAATTACAATTGAAAATGCTACATGAAACAAATTTAAATCCAGAAAGAAAAATTTGCGGAGTAGAACATATTTGTATACGTGTAAATGTGCAATATACTCACCGGGAAGAATGATTCAGGATTGACAAACACAGATTGGGAACACAAGGAGATTGCATGAATATCATCCGCAGATCTACGACCTGTTGATGCCTGTGTGTCTATAGATTCGTCATGGGTGTCCTTTGCTATGGCAGAATGTTCTTCTGAAGATTCTTGTGGTTTTTGATACTCTCGCTTCTTTGACTCAGATCTATCTTCGAAGTTAGAAGGCTTGTTTTCAGACACACATTTCAATGATGTCGAGCCATAAAGCACTTCTGAAGCATTCTTTACATCGGCTTGAGGATTCTGGCTGTCCAACTGCTCGGAGGATCTTTCAGTTTTGAGCGTGTCCCTGCATTGTGCTATTGTAAGTGATGGTGGACTGCCTGCTACTTTCTCCTTTTTCTTATGTTGCTGCATACGGTTTCTTTGCTTCCTGATTCTCCAAAAGATCCCGACGTAGCAGGCAACGATGAGCAAAACAGAGATGACACGAAAAGAGAAGAGAACGGGACCAGAAACAGAATTAGGTGAATAGAAGCAAGAACCGAACGTAGAACTGTATTCAGGGTAATGGTTGAGCACTCTCAAAATGATAGAAATAAGAAAAGATATTACCCAAAAGCAGGCTATGTAGATAGGTGTCATGCGTCTGGAGAAAACCCTGTGACAAGTTTCGGGGTGAACGACCAAGAAGTATCGATTTAAAGCCAGGAAGATTAACGCATTATGAGCCTGCGATTTTGAGACCCCTGCTCGAAAAGCATCCAATTCACAAACAACCGTACTGCCGGTGATAAGACGCTTGTCAAAGTAGCCAAGCGCCGACATAAGGCAGTCAAGTGCAGCAAAAATGTCGACAACAGCAGTGTGCCTGATGACTGTACGAGCTTGACCAGTGTCCTTAAAAACAGTGCTTTTGCGTGTCACTACCAGAATAATACCATTACTTAGCAATGAGGTTAGAAACAGTAGCAAGGAAGCAACGAAAAAGTACGTATCCTCTTCACTGGCTGCTTCTTCCATCTTGATTGGCCCTACGAAACAACAAACTAGTTGTGCATTTGGCGAGCAAGTTGCAAATCAAAAAACATGGTAGTCGACTCTATGAAAGATTGTGCAGCTGTCGTATGGTTAAGAGTTAAAATTCTAAAGCATAATCAGATGAGCAAAATGATTCCCACCTGCTCCACGAAGAGTTTGATTATCTTCATGCTAGTCCTGCGGTTAAAGCCGAGGTGCCGAGGGGGGGGCCCAACCCCCTTCGTTGTTAAAATTCAAAGAGATTACATTGATAATGTGTGGGGGATGTAGCATCCTTTAAGAGTTGTGAATCAGCTTTTTACTCGACAGACTAAAACTTTTTTAATGCTTACTCGGCATTTTTTAGGTAAAAATTGTCCGAAAAATAAGAACTGAATATCTGAAAAGTTATACAAAAATGATAAGGACGACATTTGACGAGTTTTCAAAAATCGACCAATTTATAAGTCGAACACATGTCGAGCAGCACGATAAACTCCCCGCAACTTGTATCCCTAGCTACAAATGAGTTTACAAGTTCACGCTCATAACAAGCCCATTTGTAATTCCGACAGTAAACTGCAGCATTCGTAATTTCCATTTCCCAAACGATGCAAAAAGGGGCAGTTGGCCCCCTAGATAAGGGGGAATCTAACCGCATATTAGAAATAAAATTTGCGCCCAGTTAGTGGTCTTTTATTAGCTTTTCAAAGATATATGAAGAAGTCTTAATAAATCAACTGGTTCAACATTTAGTTTACACGCTTTCAGTCTTCATTGCGATGTATGGACGAGCGTATGCAACCCAACAGGTTGCAATCCTAATGGATCTTTCGAAAGCTTTTGACATGATTTGCTTATCGCCAAACTACATGCGTATGGATTTAATGAAGATGCTCTAGTTCAAATTTATTCTTATCTCAAAAGAAGAAAACAATATGTTTGGATAAAAATTCATATAGCTCACTCCAAGAGGTTATGACTAGTGTACTCCAGGGCTCTGTGCTTGGACCAATCCTGTTCAACTTTACATAAATGATGTCTTCCTATTAATTAAACAAGCAACGCTCTATAATTATGTAGATGACAATACACTTGCTAATTTTTTAAAAGCATGTCCGATCTTATAAATTCTTCGCAAAACGAATTTGGGGTTGCGTTATCATGGTTAGAACAAAATGAAATGATTGCAAACCCTGAAAAATTTCATGCTACAATGCTTATGAAAAGTCACACAAATACTAATGGAGAACAAATAATCATTGATGGCGAAAAATCAAATCTGAGGAGACAGTGGAGCTTTTAGGCGTAGCGTTGGATTACAAACTTGAGTTTGGTTTCTAGGAGAAAAAGATTCTTGTCCAGAGCTTTGTATATTCTAACTTCAGTAACTGTCACTTGGTCTGGTATTTTTCATCTTCTAAATCATTGCAGACAATTAAAAAGTTACAAGAACGCGCTGTAAGACTTCTATATAAAGATCATACAGGTTTGTATAGCGATCCGCTTTGAAGTGAGACAAATGCCCGATGCTCGTCGCACGTCCAAAAAATCTGTGCATTGAAATACTCGAAATAGTAAAACTGGCAAAAAATAATATTTTCTCTTTTTTCTATTCTTCCTATTCTATGCAATTTGCGTTTAATATTTGTCTAGTTTTTATTTCATGATAGGGAGAGACAGCATTCATCCTTTCTCTTTCTTGCGCATTTCTGGATGGTTTATCATCTGCCTTCACGCTGTTTCTTTTGTTCTTTTTTCTTTTGTATTTATTTCGCTTTTCTCACCACCGGCTGGGCCTAGAAACTTTACTTGTGCCGTTTATTATTTATTTTATTTACTTGAGCTATCATTCTCCTTGCTGTAAAATATGTTATCTCTTGTTCTTTTGCTTTGTATTCCTTATTTTACGCTCCAACACCTTTTCAGCTAACCGCGTCAAAGGGAACTGGGCCGAGATTTGGGGCGAAAGTCGTAGTTGAAAAGGTGTATTCTGAAGAAGCATATCGCAAAACGTTGATCAAGTTGTTTTTTATTGATCATCTATATATATAGGGGAGGGGAGAGGAGGGGAGGGGAGAGCAGGGGAGGGGAAAGGAGGAGAGGGGAAAGGAGGAGAGGGGAAAGGAGGAGAGGGGAAAGGAGGAGAGGGGAGAGAAGGGCGAGGAGAGGAGAGGAGAGGAGGGGAGAGAAGGGGAGAGAAGGGGAGAGGGAGGGAGAGGAGGGGAGATGAGGGGAGATGAGGGGTTCTAAACTTTGAAGATGTCACTATCTGTTTTGCGTTGATCTGAAACTCCCCTTTTTACTTACAACAAAACGGACGGGTTAATACAAAGCAGGGGACCTTTTTCTAGCAAGATATGAAGGATAAGAAAATACGCTCTTCAAAATCCTCTTCAATGAAGCGAATAAAGGTTCCCCACGATTTTATGAAAAATCATAATTTTTTGATGTACGTATTTACTTTGTTTTCGTATGCTCTCAGCTGTCAAAAAATGCATGCACGTTAAACGTTCTAAATTAAACGCAAGGTTTTCCCATAAGCTTGTGTGGCATGTAATTCGCAACACAAACTTACACGATAACAACAGACCTTCTAACCCTATAGATCAGTACATTGGAGCAAACATGGAATTTAGTTACTACCTGAGGCGGCACCATGGTTGCCACCAAAGGAAAAGCAAATTTTCGGATTTTAACGCTTCCAGTTCGTTGGAAAACGCACTCTTTTCAAATATTTTTTATTTATACAATCTCACTTTAAAATTTATTTCCACAGGTTAAATGCAATTCTATGATCTTACTCGATTTTTTTGGATTGCTGTTCTATATGTTAGCTTATGCAACATAACTGAATGGATTTACTTTTGATTTGGCCAAAATCTCTCAGCACAGATGGTCGGTATAACGTGTTGGGATTTTAATAATGATTTCGCGTGAAATGTTATTTGACTTTTTCAAGCAATGACTTTGCGTTACTTTCAAAGCCAGGTAACCAGCAGTTATAGTTGTCAATCCACCTTGGAAATCTCTTTAAGCAATTAAAAGAGATCTGGATATCGTGAATTGCAGTTGACGCTTCCTCCGAAAAACTGTAAGGAAATTGGACACAAGGCAAAATTTTAACCAAATAAGAATCTTGTTTTCAGACTTCGTACTAACAACAAATCTTGAAATCATTATTGCTTAGTTTTGTTTACATCGGGGGGAGGGGGGAATATCATATGTATCCAGTGGAGCAACTAACATTGCCTAATTCCTTACTGATTGTAAGACGTGAAGGTCACTAAACTACCTGATGCGTTTCTACCACATAACGGATTTTTACCTGAAATTTCCTTTTAAGCTTTTTTTTTCGAGGGAGGGGGGGGGGGAGGGTGTAAGTGCGCAAACCTCATTTAAAAGCTTACCTACCCTCTTGGCGTGATTCAAAATAATCTTCTACAAGCTCTTGCGCAACAGGCATGCTTTGTGACTTTTTTTTCAAAACCGGCCTAATATCGTACTGCATGAAAATACAAACACATCAAATTCTCAAGACAACTGCCGCTAAGCATGCCGGTTGCGCAAGAGCCTTTAAGGTCCTGCTGTCTTTTCAATATCAAAACAAATTTTTTCTGAAAAAAGCTAAACCATTACGGCCATTAGCTCAACGAATTTAAGTTAAGTGGAGTGGGCGGTGTGAGTTGAAACGTCAAGTCAAATCATTATGATTATCAAGCAATGTGTGCCAATGGGAATTTATGAAGATATAATATAGCGGCAAAATTGTTTCACTGGGAGGCATAAATGCCGTCTAAATATATATGAAAAAGGCTGTGCTCGTCCGAATTTGACGATTCTTCCTTCCTCGAAAAATATATTGAGTATCCTCCTATCACGACCAGTTTTTTGAGAAGGAATGTTACAGCAAGAGCAGTTGATATTCTTTACCCAAAGTTGATCAAACTTTGCTGTTCGTTTCTTAAAAACTGCAATATAATGCTCTGTAATGGCTGGTCGTCGCTTGAAATTTGGGAATCGATTGCAGATCGAAAGTCTTCTTTGTTTTCTCTATTAACACCTCTAGTGACTGTTTTTCGGCTGAAAAATAAATCGGTTAGAATTAAAAGAGGGCAGGCGCAGATTTGAATATTCAGACAAAGACGTACGTTCTTTTTTAAACTGCCAAAACAGTCAAAAACAGTCAAAGCAGGAGAAGCAGATAATTTTGCCGAGGTTCGATGTTCAATTATTGATTTTTCTAAAACTACACCATATAAATTGTTTCGAAGGCCATGTAATAACAGTTTTGCATAACATTTAACATTTAATGATTTTGACACCCAAACAAAAGAGGGATGAAATGCTGGCTACAAATTTCATTCTGCTGGTGGTAAACACATTGAGATTCTTTCTCCTACCTCGCATCACCAAGATTTGTTTCCTGAAGTTCCAACTGAACTTTTTCAAGAGTATTCAAGTAGGCGAATTCTTCGAGAATGTCTATATCTTGAGAGAAGAGTCAAGGCAAAAAAACGTGAGACGTAGGAACACATTGAATTAACCAGTATCCAACAGACGGTATACCTTAAATGATTCCCCTGTTCCTGCTCATCGAATGTCAAAATTCTGGCTCTGGGACAGTTTGCTTTCGATTGGGTGCTCTGTTATTAAATTTGAGTTATTCCAGAGGTTATTCTTGAGATAAAGCCAAAAAAGCAATCAAAACACAGAGAGGGCATTCAGATGCAAGAGACCACGCTCAGCATAGTCTCCAAAATGCTTTGCCTTTACGATCAGCCTATGAACTTCAACATAAATGTACAAAATATCAATTTAACCTTGGCTCCGCCAGCCACGTAGCTGTGCCCCCCCAAATGAAAATTTTGACAAGAACTTGCCCCCTTTGGTTACAGTTTTTCCGAATTATATTCTGAAAATTTGGCATAATTATAATTCCGTGAGCTTAATTTAGTCCAAATATATATGTTTGTTATACATCTGTTTTCTTGTTTCAAAGCTTGCCCCCCCCCCCCCTTAGGAATGGTTCTTGCTCGAGTTTGCCCCTGCTAGCTGACATCTTCAGCTACGTGGTTGGCTCCGACACAGGTTGGAAAGTGGAGGAGGGGAGCAAGGGAAAATTTAACCCTAATAACAAAAGATTTTGAAAAAAGTCATGGCTCCCCGGCCCTCTGCGTCGGAGGCACTGTTTAATCAGCCAGACCTCGAAATTTTGACCTGCACGGCTAAGCGTAAGTCTTCGGTCGAGTTTACCATCCCATTTTCCTGCACTGCCATCTTTATTCTGAGAGAGAACTGGAGATAACAGGATAGAACAGGGGAAAAGAGGAAAAGAGAGGGGAGGGGAGGACAAGAGAGGGGCGGACAGGACAGAATAGGGGAGGAGAAAAGGAAAGACCGATGGGAGGAGGGGATGACAATAGAGAAGAGGGAAATGGAAGAGAAGACAGGGGGCGACGGAAGAGAATGGGACAGGACATAAGATAAAAGACAGGATAAAAAACAAAAACATAATTGCAGAGAAAACTGTACAGAAGAGGAGAGAACTCCACAGGGCAGGACACTGTCTGTCCTAAAAACCAATGCTGTAACTTCTATATTCTAAAGTACTCTAAGCTATCATTGTAGCTATACTCACCAGGAAAAATATCGAGAAACATACATCGACGAAATGTTCGGTTTTTAGACGACGAAATATGAAGAATGACAAAAACAGCCTAGTCAATCTATGGAAATCAAGAAACAAAATCCTTAACTTACAAACAGCGAAGTCAAGGTGTTTCTCTTTAAAGACCCGGTCAAACAAACTCAAAATTTCACTGAGCAACGCTAAACTTCTCTGTTCAGTAAAAAGTTCGGTTCGTTTGGCCACTTGCTCAGCTTTGCTCAGCCCTGCTCAGTCCGGCTCAGAGATTTTTGAAGTAGCCGCTGCGTCCAAGATTTTAATCTGCACGATATGAATTTAAAAACACTAAAACTGTATTAAAGAAGCTATGCGAATGGTGTGATGATTTCCTCTTTTGTGCGGGCTGTAGCTGCCAATGCAGATAATGGCACCTAATTTTCCTCGGTGTTTTCTTCCTGCCTCAAATATTTCTCTGCCTTTATCACGCATATTTTTGCTATTTCATACGATTCTAGCATGTTGGTCCATTAGGAAATCACGTGTCTTTCAATTTAATCGTTTTCTGGTGAAATTAACATTCTTGTTCCAAAGAGTTTGATTTTGTTGGGATAATTTGCATAAATTAACATAATCAATTCTAAAAGGACTGCTCGATCAGAATGTATCGATAACACATTAAAAGAATGGTTTTTGATAATTATGCAAGTTTTTCATTATTTGAGTGCATTTATTACGTTGTATTCTGAAAAATTCTTCTAAACGTGGTCTGAATAGAACCTTTTATATACAAAGAGTACCATTATTTAAATGGTCTTGCTAAATAATCGAACGAGCATCATCAACTCTCCTACTTCTGAGTTAGATATGAAAATACCTCTACAGGCATGTATTCACGTGCCTCTTTTAAAACCAACCATACACAAGTCGCCATCTATACTCAAATTTATTTATTGCTTGTTAATCTTCGTCCCTCACTAAATGATGAAAATTTTACCCGGCAACATGTTGCTTGAGAGACTCATTCATCGCTGGAACAAAATACTTTTAAAACAAAATCCCACATCCCAAAAAATTCCGCTACAAAAACGAGGATATTTTTCCATCTGGCGGTTTTTCAACGGTGAATTTTCTGCCTTTTCAGCAAATAAAGGATGGCTCACCCACTTTGTTGGCAAAATGGGATCTTGATATCTCCTTTGGTACCGAAGATAACGTTACATGAAACACAGAAATCAGAGCTATTAAACAAATGAAAGGATACTGGTTATGTATTTAAAAAACTGCTTGTACTTCAAGCCACCGAGTGTTGTTATAGTCTTAGCCAGTTGCTCGAACAAGATCTCTCCTTTAGGCCAGTTATACTGCAACAGAACGATCAAATGGCCGATGGTACTGTCTTGTCTTGTTTCGTATAAAGGGCCAATTTTATCCTTATCGGGGCGAATGTCTACATCGGGAAGCTTATCCTGCAAACAACAACAAAAATGTTCGAGAATTGCAAGCTACGTCTTTCACGCCTTTGCATTAGTGCTAGTAGTAGGCTAAGAGTTTTGGCTGATCGAGATTTGTACAAATTGTTATTTGAATCCCATTTTCGATCTAATCAATGCTGTTTTAAATAATTTCCAGAGTTTCGGTATTGTCGAATTTCTGTCCGAAGGTCAAGCCCCGGTTTTACCCACCGAAAACCGTCAATGATTTAAAAAGAAGACTTAAGAAACAGGAGATTACAAGGAATGTATGCAAGGACTATCATTGTTATGAGACAGTGAGCAATGGTTGCTTTATGACCCCTAAAGCCTTGGATGTAGAAAGCTATTTCTGAAATATTATTGTTGGTCTACTTGAGTTGTCAAAACAAAAAATAGAAAAATATAGAAAGGGTGAGATATAAATATAAAATAGAAGATATTACCAAACAAATATCGTCGTTGAAAAAATATTACTACAATATAATTTCAAAAAGGCACAAAAGCATGCGATGTATATTCTGAATACTGGTATTAATATAGAAATTCAAGGAGAATCTCTCTCAAGGAGAGAAACCCTAGCATAAATGATCAATAAGACAACTAAAGCTTAAGATCATTTACAAACTTGAGGATATTGCTAAAAGTAACCACAAAAAGCTATTCCAAAATTAACCGAAACAGTCCTTCCCAATATCGTGTTAAATCCCCCTCCATATGCAATGTCCCTGCGTTCGGATGCTTATGCTCTTCGAGGCGAAAAAAAAGTTTGACGTGAATTTTCATCCATACTGGGAAATAGGGGATAAAGTCATGTGATGAAAAATTTCAATTCCTTAAAGGCATTTGACACAGGTAAAAGTTGCTTACAGCCACTTGTCCACGAGCGGTTGACCAATCAAATTGCACACAGAGAAAAACACGTGAACAGTTTCCGCCATTCTGCAAATCGGTGAAATCCTAGAGCAGTGCGCAGTGGTTCACGTGAGCAGTTTCCAATTCCTTTCTTGTGCGCGTGCTCTGATAAATTTTTATTGGATTTGCTGTACTCATGCATGTCAAATGCCTTTAAATAGGATGCCTGACATTAAATTTGAAAACAGTCTGACGTCTTAATGTTATGTTTTTACAATGTATTAGTGACCCCGTTAAACTTTCTTCTAGGTATCATAAAAAACTGCACCATGATTTTCGCAATTTTTATAGACACCAAAACGCAAGAACTCAGTCAACAGTTATCTCCAGCATTCCTTTTAATTTTAAAATCAACAGCTTGACATGTCTCAGCCGATAAAGTAACTACCTTAGCAGTCGTCCCCTTAGTCTTTCTCCTGCTGTATTAATTACAAAAATTTATCTTGTTTTTCATCAAAAAATAATAAATACCCCCATCGAATGATTGAAAAAACTGTTTCTGACAAAGACGATAGTCGTTTAAAGGATGGGGAATATGTTCGCTGTAAAATTTATGCTTGTTCACCTTTTCCATTGAAAAAATCCCCTTGTTTCCTGGAGTTTTGTAGACATTTTTCAGAGCAATATTTAACAATTAAGCTAAAATAACTGATTCGATTTGGCCCTCAACTTCTTAAAAATGTTCAGAATTACGCTTTTTACTAGTAAATGACTCTTCAATCTCTTTGCTTTCACGACAACAATATTTTGAGCCTCGTAAAGAGCTGATAATTGAACTTCTGATAAGCTTTCCTTTCGATGTCTCTTATCTGCCTAGTTTGAATTGATTGACTTCTAAGTAGTTTTTTCCTTTTTTAAGGGTTAAATGGCGCGTTTCGGAGTTATCTCTCACTAAGCGATTTCTAACTATTTTAAGGAACACTTTGCCCATAGATTGCTCTCCAGTTTTTTATTGTTTCAACCATCTCTTTTGATAGGTGCACTCCAGTGCCGGTGTAATTTGTATTTTGGTACCCTATGTAAAAGTGTAACATTGTGAAATGCAATATGATTCAGAACCCTATTGATTAAGTGCTTGGGTACATTTTTGCATAACGAAAATTGTCTTGCGTTTGTGTTCCCGGACCATTTTGCATGCTAAGTTCCATCATTCGTTTTGGTACCTTTTTGTTTAAGTGCTTGGGTGCGTTTTTGCATAACCAAAATTCTCATGCGTTTGTGTACCCGGTCCGAAATGCACTGGCCCTTAATGGATTAAACTTTAAAGCCGCGACGTTTTAAAAGCCTTCGTAATAAGGGCCAGGATTGAAAAGCCAAATTGGACTAAACGTCGTAGTGGCTGTTATTGAATAGAAAATGGGAAGAAGTGCCAAATAAATACGTTTATTATTTCCTTATCAATTTTTTTCTTTTTCATACACTTTGAACAAGGTACGACCCTAACAAACATTATCAATCGCAAAGCGATAATATAGAAACAAATAGAAACAGAAAACTTATGGAAACTAAACTAGAACGATTAAATACTCTTTTTTTAAGTTCAAATAAGTCATCTGAAATGCAACTCGGTTGAAAGATTCTAAAAATGTCGGTAAAAAAGATAATCACCTTAACGCAGAGCACCAGCAAATCAACGCAGTATCCTGTGACGTCATGCACGCTGGAAAGGACAACACGAAGACAGCGGCCTACAGGAAAAGAAGGTAATGTGATTTGAGAAAATGCGAAATTTCGAAATATCGTTTTTTGCAAAATAATTAATAACTGTTACAAAACACTATTTGCTTCTATTAATAACTGAAAACAAGCGATTCACATTTAAGCCAGTTCTATTCATGCAAATACCCTTGTTCATGCCCAAACTAACGTTCAAAAGTTCACTGACAATTGTTGGAAAGTGGCCAAAAACAAGCCCACACCAGAGTCCAGAACGGCCTAATTGTGAATTGCCCAGGCCAGCTAAAGACGATAACAGTAAGCATCCATGTACTTGATTAATATCCAACGTTCTGCATTTTGTGCTGTTTTAACTCTTTTACGTCTGTATCCACTTTTCCGTTTCCCTTCCTTTTGTTTCCAAGAGAAAGGACATTATTGGAATGGTGGAGGGCAAAAAGAGAGTACCTGGTAAAAAAGAGAGTAAAATTATACATTCTGCTTACCATCACTGCTTCCTTTTGAAACGCCACTATGATTTTCATTTGAACTATACTCGTAATCACCTTCTTTGGAAATTGTGAATATTGCGTTGATGGCCATCTGAGAAGCCTCCTTCTCGTGAGGAAAAATACACAAAATGAGGAAACATAACAAAGTAGCCCTGGCCTAATCCAATATCGTTTGCTACACACAGTTATAGAAAATGCTTTAATATTTCTGGTAGAAGTTCTGGCAACAAAATATCATTTTATGCTTCTTCAATACTATTTCTTCTTCTTTTATATCTTCGCCTTTATATTTTATATCATCCTTTATATAAAAGTGGACCATCTTTAATCCCATTTAAAAAGCCAAATACTCGGATTTAGCCCCCATCGCTCCCTACAGCGCTGCAGGTCCCTGAAACAGCAATAAACGTAAGGATAAGATATGATTTTTGTTACTGAAAAAACCGTCAAAACTTGCCTTGTACTCTCCAATGCAGAAGAAACACATCGCAAGCTGTGTATACTGTCTTGCCTGATATCAAATTGAAAAGAGAGAGATCGACACTTTGATAACTAGCACTAAAGCTTGCACCAATGTCATTCAGGCATACTAGTGCAATAGATATTTGCATATACAGGACAAACCGGTTATCTTGAGCAGTAAAACGAGCTACAGCTGTATTGAGAACACTTTGCAACTCAAAAAAGTATTTAAAATGTGTAGTGTAACATTTTGTTAACGAGCTTCAAGACAATATTAAATTTGTGAATGTAACCTTGGTGTTTGACAATATTAAATTTGTGATTGTAACCTTAAACTATATCTAAACAAATATCGTTAATACTTTGAAAGACGACTTACTAAAACATAGTGGCTGATAAATTTGGTAATGCACCAGATGTTTAAAATTTTTCGACAAAATTAACGCGAATTAGATTTTAGCAAATAAATCTGCACAATAAAACTTACTCCCACGAGCAAATAATGGCATAGAATTAGGAAAAACTGTGACTAACTGATTTACAGGATAGATCCTTCGACGAATGATGCTGCTTTCTCGAGTTTATAAATTCGATAATATCTCGATATTTTTTCTGATAAAAAAGAAAACATATAAAATTTGGCAAGGAATTGAGATTTATATCGTTGAAAATAAAGATGATAATAGAGATCTTTGAAAATCTAAATAATGATGATGATAATGGTGACGATGAAAAGTTCAAGTTTAAAAAGCATTGCTGACAACAGATGGTACTGTAATCAACTAAATTATCGTATCTTGGCCGCTCACTTGAACTCCACCTAAAAATGGGCACTGTCGCAGATTGAGGTTAAAAATCATCAAATGATCGAGTTCCAGTAAAGAGATTTTGAGAATTTCCAATCTGATTAAATCTTAGAGAATTAATATTTAATTAACGTTTTGTGAAGCAAAGTTTCAGCTGACTTTGAAAATGGATGAGTGTGGATAAGCAATTTAAATAATCTTACTTTAATTAAATAAACAAATGAGCGAATATTATCTTAGGCAAAATGTTTTTGTAATATCATCGTTAGCCGAGTATAATGCACATAAACATATACACACATACGGGTATAATACACACATAACTCTGAGGAAAATTCATTACATCATATTGGTGAATCTAGCACGAAGTATTACAGGACTATGCATGCATTAACTAATTTAGATAGCAGTCAGGTCGCAATGTACCTTGACATTATAAATCACTGATATGACCATTTGGCTCAGATCATGGCAACACATTTTCTTACAATATATTGTAGTTGGTTTCTGCTTGTAAACAGCAGTATCAAAGTCCTGTTCGTTATCTAATCATGACAAAAAAATCTTTTGGAATATGGAACTCTAATGGACAAATAATCTTCAAAAGGAATTAAAGTATACGTTTTTCCTAAAAATATTTCAAAATGTGCAGTAGGCAGAATACATAGCCACCATACCTGGAAAACCAAAGAATCGATTTGGAAAATTTCAAACCAGCTTTTCTCTTGCATGGACCATTCTTGTTCCAGCCTTGTGAACTCTTAGAGAAACATTAACATTGAATAAAAATATTAATTCAGAGGAAAATAAAGCATTATATCATTGACAATAAACAAGCAAGGAGTGAATGAAAAAGGAAATAACGGTATCGAATAGAACATTATAAGGATTTTGTGAACAGGAAAATAAATCGTGTTGTTTATTTTATGATGAAAACGCATCTGTATCATTAAACATGAAACATGATATTTATAACATATCAAGCTTGGCTTGATATTCATTTGATTATCAGTAATACATATAGGTTAGGTCGATAAAAGGATGATTGAATATCTAGTAAAATACGAATGATAAAAGAAAAACTGCTTGACAAAAGTTACTGCAATGCTGAATTGCAGAAACTTTTCCTCTTGTCAAAATAAATTTTACCGAATGTATAATTGGTCGATATAATGATATAAGTTGTAACTAACTGACCAGATGACAGATGACAGGTTATTGATTGTCAGATTATGTTGAAAAAAATGCAGGCCAGGAAATAACGAGGAGCTCTTACAGTTCTGTTACAACCAAGCTACGAGGACAACCTATAATAGGCTGAGGTGGTAGCTAGATTATTCTCGGAAAGACAAGAGGGTTAACCTCGATCTCAAAATAAACGGCTGGGCCTCGCAGGGATCAAATAATAAAAATTTCATTACCAGTCCTGTGATAAGTGGGGAGGGGGCAACATCAAGTAGGGGAGTAGCGCCAAAGCTTGTTGGAGTAGAGCCCAGAGCAATAAGAGGGCTAGAATGCACGGTATCTCACGTGATGCGGGGCAGAGCAAAAGCGGTACCTTATTGTTAAAAAAATGAGGAAGAACAGTCACTTTGTATTGGCATCGTAAGGTCGTGATAATTGTTCTCGATAGTCAGATTGATATGAAATGGTCCTACTTCAAATGGCAATTGAAATCTGAAACCTTTAACTTCTTAAAGAGAAGCAAAACTAGCTGCAGATGTATTTTGTTGTTGACCAGTGAGAGGATTAGACCAAAACACAAAAATTACGAAAAGGAACAGATGGACTTTCAGCTATACAAAGAATAAAATAATATTTTCAACTGACATGCAGATGTTTTTACTGTTTTGGTTGGAATAACATTCAAGCTGCACTTTAGTTAATATATTTCTTAAGGCCATGGGCTGGCGAAAATAAATTAAATTTTTCTGCAAACTTTTGCATAAGGTGCAAGAGCCTCTGATTCACTGTCAGCAAATGGTACCCTGACATACTTTATAACGTATCGGCGTTCAGGCGTCCTGTTTCACACAAATACATCTCTTTGGAAGATTTTTCACTAAAGAACAAGTATGTCACTAGGTGCATTCTTGTATCCTAGTTGTAGGGTGGCTCTGAAGCCGTATGGGCACGGATGAGGGTGAGGTGAGTGACCACACCCAATGAAGTAACAGTCTTAAGTATACATTCATTTGAAACATATTCTCAGTTAATTGATTTGCTGGTAGTATTTGTGATGCAGTTTTTGCACATTTTGTACTTTTTGTAAATCAGTTATACCATCTTGTTGTGGCTTTTGTACTTCTCATTTAGTGTTAGCAGTTAATATCAGAATTTTAACTGTGTAAAGGCTCAGGTGTTGCAGAATAGTTGGATCGAAGTGCAGAGAAACATCGTTTTTGACAAATATATGAATAATTTACTGATATGATGAAATGACAAAGAATGTTGAGGAGATAACTTAGGTGAATTTCGTGAAAAAAAGATCTGTAGACTGAAAAAACTTGCAGACAAACAGTCTTACTGTCTGATTAGCGTGCATATAAATTAAAATGTAATCGTCGAGAACTTTAAACCATGTGTTTTACAGAAGACCTTTCACATGCGCAAATGCCGAAGTGCGACCAATTCAGATACTCCTATGCTATACAACAAAGTATAGGATGTAGATAAAACGATTAGATGCACGACAGGAGTAAGACAGGGATGTATGTTAGGTCCGCGATTGTTGAATCGTCCAATGAACGGGATTTAACTGCTCATTGCGTGGCTAAACGTGCGTGGCTCGATCTGCGATTTGCAGTGCCAACATTCATATTCTCGTACATTTTGTGAAAAGGTCCCGTCATCATTTTTTTATTTTCAAAGCAAAAGGGCCCGGGCGCGAACGCTTTTTGCCAACCGGGCAAGACCGCGCTTGTACGTCGCTCACTAAAACTTCTCTGCCGCTGTGCTTTCTCAAATCTTGTTCGGCATTCATTACTGCCAATTACCTATTTGTAGCCTGCGTGTAGGCTCGGAAATTGAAAAGGGGAGAAACGATTTTCTCCTCTCTTCAATTTGTCAACAGAGTCTGCACGCAGGCTACTGCAAGAGAGCATCCAATATAGTAAATACATTGGTAAATACTATTTCATTGGATTGAATTAAACTATTGTGGCAGCCTACAGTGGAACTAGCTTACGGCGCAAAACCTTACTGATTGATCCTGAATCTGTGACTTTTGCAAGCGTTTGTTTGATTAACTCACACAAGAATCAATGAAACTTGGCAAACTGTCCGATATTCTTAGGCCCAAGAACAAACAAGATGCGAAAAAGTAAAGAGACCAAAGATCAAACGGTTATTTCATAAAACAGCATTCTTAGATTTATAGTCGAATTCGGCAGTTGCTGTGATTCTGTCCATATGTACCATCTTGATTCTTAAAGTTGAGGCCATCAGAAATTGGGGGCATTATAAATTGGGACCATCAGAAATTTGGAGTCATCAGAAATTGGGGCCATCAGATATTTTGGGGCAATCAGAAATTGGGTCCATCAGAAATTGGGGCCATCATAAATTGGGGCCAAAAACTGACAATATCGCGACTTGCCTTCGTAAAAGGCACACAAAACACGAGAACTGGCAAAGGTAAAGCAGGTAGAAACTGTATTAAAGCACGATAGAAATACGAGAGCTACAGCTCATTCGACTCCTAAAGGTCTGCTTTTGTCAATGCAAACCTTGCATTTTAATAAATGAGCTTGTTACATTGAGAAACGGTCTTTAAAGGGAGGTACATAGAGGTTTAATGTAGACTATCTAAGTTCTTTGTTTCATCTTGGAATAAATGACTGACAAGCAGATGGACAGCAAACTGTGCAATTGACGGAAAGAGTAACTTGGTTAATAACAGGTGTGGGGAGTATTGTTTGATACAGCCAACATTGCAACTGCAGGATGATTTAATCGGTAATTACTGGAACACATATGGTGAATGAACCGACAAAATAATTGCACTGATTGATTAATCTGAATGAATAACATACCTTTTTCGAACACACTGCTTGACTTTAGAAAATTCCTGCAATCAATTGCAACTTGTAGTGTATCTGATAAATCGATATTCTGTCCTGGATGCACTGAAATAAAAGGATAACATTACTGTGCAGCTTCTGTAGCCAATTTGAGTTCTGAAGTAAACATGCAGTGAATATTGCTATGTGTTAGCTCTAACGAAAAATACAACAGAGCTACAATTTAGGACAGATCTGTTGAGACGAACCTCGAAACATGTGCCATGGAGCGCATGTTTTAGTAGAAGAAAGATCAACATTGAAAGGGGGAGGTTACAAAATCTCAATACCGTCTGTCCGGGGATGTAGCTTCAATTCGTTGACACCACAATTGTATTCCAAGTTTTGTTGGTTTAAGGTCTCGTACGTTGGAGACGAAAGAACAAAATGGGGTGGTGGTCAGTGGTGTCCAGGTATAAAACGTTGGCGTGCCGCACTGATACAAATACTTGGAAAAATGGAAAAAAATCGTAGCTTTGGGGAGAGCGCTCCAAAAACTCCGTACTTTTTCAAAAGATGTACACAGGGCTATCAATGAGTCTTTCAATTTTTATCTAAAATCGTCCGTTTTTATATAAAAAATTCAAATGTCTCGACCGATTTTGAAATAGCTTGGTTCTCAAGTTTATAAGCAAATTCTAAGACACTTCTTACAAACTGACCTGTTGGAGCAACGAGAAAATAGCATTGCAATAAAAAAGTAATATAATTGTGGACCCGTTACCAGCTAACATCTTTGCTCTTTGGTACACAATTTCTTACATTAAAGACTTTCTATGACAGTGGTTTTTAAGAATTTTGAGTGCGGAAGATCGTAAGAACGTTAAGCTTTGTTAGTCTCTTGTTAGGTCGAATTGAAGCGCGCTGAAGTCAGGTCCAGGGGCTGTACAGCGTACTTTAAAATAAGGCCAAATGTAATTTTTGTGGATGAATTTAGTAAAGGCTGCCACCATGTTTGGCGGCAAGAAAAATTTTAAATCATAATAATCTAAGAATAACCAGAAACTGCACCTCAAATAGATTTTAACAGGAGAAAATCCAAGGCAATATTCTTAAGGTTTTTTAATAACGAGGTTCCATAATTTTATCTGTTTAAAGGTGGACATGAAAAAGGAAGGGTCTTTCAAGATTTAGAATAATCTTAGCATAGCAGCGTATAAGATGTAGAAGAGAAATAAAAAAGACAGTTAATGAAACGTTTTAAAACGATCAAATGAAATAAATGAAGCATTTCTTATTTTGGTACTCCCTTTTGGACCAATTACTCTCACGGAACACATTTCAGAATTATTTATAGAGAAAAAGAAAATATCAAAGAGGACAAATAAAAAAACAAAGATAAATCCATATTTCGAAAGTGTTTGGGGCCGGATGAAATCTTTTCGCGGAACGGAGGTTAAGAAAATGGCTGCCCTATGGCATTTCAGATTGCAGTTTTTTGTAGACATTATTCAAGTCAAAAATTTTTCTGTTTAAATAAAATTTAAACAAAATAAAACAAAATTTAAACTGTTTAAATATTTTTAGCTGAATTCATTATACATTTCAAAAGAGAAAGCTTTTGAGACGATGTTCCAAAATTTTTGAAGAATAACGCCCCAAATCAGATTAAAATGAGTGTGTCCTTACAGGTCGCATGCATCGAGAATCACAGCTCGGTCTAAACCAATCAACGAACGTAGCTCCAATCACTGCCAAAATCACATGGAACACCTAACACTTTGGGCTGTGCTTTTCTATTTTTCGTTTGTTTTCTTGAATACTACCACTTCCGCCCCCCTTTCCCCCCAAAACAATGTTGAAAGTATAGAAAAATATCAAACAATCCACAAGAAAAAGCGTACTCCATAACCCCTTTCTTTTTTCTATAGTAAATCAACATTGTTCCTAGGGGGAGAGGGGGATGGCTGAATTTGCCTTTGAAAACCTACATTAGTGTTCCAAGACTTTTGGCAGTGATTGTCGGTCTAGACCAGTTAATGCACAATATCTCGATCTAAACCAATCATCTAACAAGTAGCTCAGCCTAAACCAATCATGTCGTAGGTAGTTTTAACAATTGTGAATGCAATTGCAATCTATATAGAGAAATTTCCTTTGAAAAAGGAAATCAAGAGGGTCGATTCGCACATCTTTGTAGACTGGAGCTACGCCTTGTTCTGTAAAACAGGACTTCTCCTAGAATGATTCTCCAAGCTTCATGCTAGATCCTGTCTCGAGGCAAATTTTAACCTGGATCGCATTGAGCGTAAAGTTCGGAGTAGAGCGTGATAAAATCGAACAGTTAAAAAGAAATCCTCATTACTTACTGGAGCTAAACTGTATGTTAACATCTTCTATGGAGACTTGAAACTCCAATGATGAGCCGGTAGCCTTCGGGAGAAAGCAGATGCGTGCGATGCGAGTACAAAAAACATTTGAACTGTATCAAAGAAATAAATGCAAGGGGATATTTGTGCAAATGCAAAGGGAATGCATGCACGAAGTTTCTGATTAAAGAATCTATATGTTTTCCTGAACTCTAGACAGTCAATGATATTATTAAGTTTGCATGCATGACTTCACTCATTGCTTTGCGCTAACTGGGTCTTGTATGAAAATAAAAAGGAACAAACAGGCAGGTTCTAGAAAGATTATTTTTGTAGACTAGCGAGCCGTCTACCTTGAAAGATATATGTCGTGTAGTATAGGTGAAAGTGCTCCCGAGAACATAAATGTCTAACAAATACAAAAAACACACCACGAAAGAAGGAAGAGAAAAATATACTACTTTCTGGCAGGGGGATGGAAAATCAGCTTTATGGTACGTGTATTCCCAGCCTGAATGATATCAAGAAAATTATCTCAAGTCCCATCATAGAACGTCATTCCAAAACTTGACTGACTGTTTGATATCCTGACGATTCGCAAAAAAATCACTTGGTTGCCTGGGTCAAAATCGGTGACGAATATCTGATGCGTTTTTGAGATGAAAATTGTTAATTCAAAAAAGTAGCTCAACATTGTTTATAAGTCTTCTCTTATTGGCAAAGCCACCTGTCTTTCCTGCTATCTTTCGACCCTTCTCAATCTCATCCTGTTAAGATTAAAAATTCCAAAATGAAAGGAATAGTATAAACTTACCGAGCCATCTTCAATTTTTTTCTTCTTTTTGGGTGGTCTAGAAAAAACACAAAGTTTTAAAACCGTATAAGAAAGAAAAATAAACAAAATAATTTCATTGCATCCCAGGATTCACAGACACAACAGTATTTCAAGCCTGCATCAAAACAGATTATAGGGGATAAAAGACAAAGGGCCTACTTTGATGATGTTGACTGACTGTTCATGGTTTGTCCTATATGCTCGAGGTTTTCCAATAATATATATTCAGCAACATTCGAATCACGCTGCCCTGTTTGAAAAACGAGACACAAAAATAATATGGACTCGTATACCATACTGTTTACCATTTATTATTACAGTGGTAGTAAAATATTAATAGTACCTTATTAATAACTTTCCAGTAAAATACTACTACTAAGTGATTGTAAATCATATACAGTAGATCATCGAAATAATACACCATAAAAATAGTAATAGTAGCGTGTACCCCTATATCAGAGCCACAAAAGTTTGGCCATTGGAATGGCAAAGGGGTTTCTCCATTTCATTATATCAGCACAAAATACTATTCCTTGGCACATAGGAACTATTACAAAATGCAGTGGGGAATGCAAGACCAGTTCTGTTACCAAATTTTCTGTCGATCAACTTGGCACAAATTCAAATCTTTATGCCGAGTACAGTCTCTTATTAAAGGCAGATATTCATTTTCTAACTTAATAACGAAAGGCTTCATTTTTTTAACTTTAGTATCTCAGATACAGACAAAATTGTACTTCGATAAATGGCAAACTTTTTTTTAAATCGATCGCCCCTCTATTAGGTTACGATTAAAAATAACAGCCCCTTCTTTTAAAAGTCCCCATTGCAAGAGCGCCCCGAAAAGGATGACAATCTTTAAGATCCCTTTTCCACCCTGTCGTTTTTTCGAAGTAGTAAACCACATAATGCTGGCGTTGATACAGATAAAAAAACTGTCCTTGATATGAACATAATAATATGATAATAATACGATGATAATACAAGGAGTACCTTTCCTAGGGCTGATCATCTTTGAACAATAGTCAATCATTGTATGCAGGTAAACCTCTAGTACACTGTAGAATAATCCCCATGGTGACTTGGCATCTTTTATGCTATTCAAAGCCTTCCACTTGCTTCGTATGCTCCTGAAAAAGAACGTAAATTTATACCTTGGCATTTAAAGTCAATAGTTTTTTAATATTTTGTGTCAGTTATTTTTATCTGATCTGTAAATGAATCGACAATATTCGTGGGTTACTTTCACAATGGCGTCAGCAGAATCCTAGGTACTAAATAAAAGATATGGTTTATCCCCTGATGGCTGTCAAAGGGGCTCCTGTCTATTTTACAAACAGAAAAGGTTCTTTAATCACCCATTCCCCCTTTATCATCCTGTCCTTCCTTCTGTTAACAATGCACTTTGTAGGCCTTTCATGCGGAGTCTTTCCAGAGGCCGAAACCACTCAAGACCTTTCTTGCTCACGTTTGCTGTGGATTTATGATATGTGATAGTTCTATTCAGATTTCTATCCGTCCAAACAAATTTAGAATTCTTTCAAGAAAGTAATGGCACAAAAATACCAGAGAATAATTCTGTTTCAAAAAATCTACCTGCTTTTTGAAGGATCTAGTTTATCCTTGATTTTTAAAACATTTGTCCATCCGCACTTTGCAGCAAAGAGAAGAAGTATTTCGTGTAAAGACTGCCACGGGTTCTGTCCGATATCCCCATCTGGGTCAAATGTAGACTCTCCATCCGAGGCAGGTCCACGATTGTGGTACTTTAGTGTACTTTGGTGTATATTAAGAGCTATGAAAAACTCAAAGCTTAGCTCAAGCCAGTGGAACAGAGTCTTTTCCTCGAGATAAACTACATTCCCCTGCAAGAACCAAACCAGAACTTAGGCTAGAAAAACCCTTCAGATGGTAATGCAACCCTCTGAAGGAAACAGAAACAAATGTATAAAATATATGAACAATGGAGAGTTTCAAAACACAAGCGTAGGCAAATAATCCAGTCAGGCAAAGATACAGGTAAACATTCTAAAGGTGGTAGAATCCAGCATTAATTTTGTTTTCAACTAACATTATCCACAAAGCTTGAAGCAACATTGTTTTTTGATAACATCAGCGAACATATTTATCAAGTTTACAATGCTGGAGCTGTTTACCCCAACCCTAATAAGACTTTTGATACGATAAATCGCGTTAAGTTATGAGATACGCTCCACGCCTAAAGATTCATTGAAACATGGCTTGATTGCATACCACATTCTCAAATAAAACGCAATTGTGTCGCTCAATAACTCTATATCTATTAGACTGATGATCAAAAGTAGGCAGAGCAAGGATCAATCCCGGGTCCTCTTTTACTTAGCACCCCCAACGACCTTGTATATTTTAGTCTACAACAAGCTAACCAATTTGTTGCAAAAATAAATTTTCAAGAAGTCAAGAACTTTGCACTTAGACACAGAAGCTTATTAACTTTGACACTCTCGTTACACAAATGAGGATTGCATACCTTATGTTTTGTGCCAGGAGAATCAACCTGAACTTCAGGGCTTTTCAGAATAACTGGGAGTACATCACATACTGAAATTTAATAAAATGAATATCATGGTCCTATATTACAGGAAGAAAGCGATAGCCCTCACCCTCCACTTACAAACACCAGTTCTATTAAATCGCAGTAAATATAAACAATAAACACCTCCTCTTTCTTAAAATTACAAAAAATGGACTTAATTGAAACTAGAAAAGCAATAGGCTCATAAGACAATCCTAGAAGACCAGGGGATAATTTGCATGCTTTGATTTAGGGGGGGGATTGGGGGCACAAAGACCTTTTTGGAATAGCAAATAGATTTTGGAACCATCAGATCTAATTAGGAAATTATTGGAGGGCAATGGGCCTCCAACTGCCCTAAGATGCTGTGTGCGAAAGACAATAAACAATTTGCTATGTCAAATGGCTAGAGCTATAATCTTGCAGCTCATGTCTATTGCTAATGAAGAAATATTTACCAAGCATTTTCCTGTAAATATTCAGTGGGGTGGACGACAGATCCTCTTTTTCTGTCTGTGTAAGCAGCTCTGCTAATTTCATCTGAAAGGAAAAATGGGAAATTCCAGACAAACCTCTTTCTCACTAAAACAGAGAAAAATAGGAAGGAACATCTAAAACAATAAAAAAGTGCTTTGAGCAGTTGTGTTTCATCAAAAATTCTGATATCAAAGTGAAATTAAATGAAAACAGGCAATAACCAAGGCACAACATTGTATTCAGCTTATTGTATATAACAAATTATATGAGATGTGGTACGAAATAAAATAATACGGTACTAACAAAATATAACTTACACCATACTGTTTTGTGCCACCATGGAACTTTTTCATAACTACCAAAGAAATTCGGCATTTTTCTATTAAATCTTTTTGATTATCTGCAAAACATAGGAGCAGAAAAAATAACAAAGAGATGTAGTGGCGAATTTGAATTTTACCATATCACAAGCCTAAATACGTCGCCAGCCTTCAGGGGGTCATCCTTGCCAAATTTGCAATCAAGAAAATTGATTAGCATGTAAAATTTTCAGAAGAACACCAATAAACAAGAAGAACCCCTTAACATTGCATGTGAATGTGTGACTTAAGCCTTTATTCAATCATTTCTAGCGCATTTCCGTTCCCTTCGCGTCATTATTTTCATCGCTTTATTTCCTTGAATTAATTTCCCGCCTCTCTTTCATAACGTTCAACCTAATTACCTCCTATTTATTTCAGTCTGACAAGTCAAACAAAAAATACTCGTTACACCCAACTCATAAATCATTGATTTTAAGTATAAAGAAGTACAATGCCTGCCAAACGTACTTGGAACACCCACCAATTTACGTCGCATTTGATATCTTTCATTCCTTTCATGAAAAAAATTGCTACTTCCGCCCCCTTCCCCCTCAAACAATGTTGATGATTTAGAGAAATATCATAAAAGAAGAGCAAAAGAAAGTGCTTCCTAAAATCCTAACCCGTTTGATAGTAAACCAGCATTGTTCCGTGGGGGAGAGGGGGATGATTGGTTTTGACCTTGGAGATTGATGTCAGTGTTCCAAGACTTTTGGCAGGCATTGTAGAACTTCCCTTATTTCAATATGACCTCAATAAACTATTCACTTGATTAAATTTGCAATTCCAAAACCAAATATTTAGTGAATTAGTGACAAGTTCTCTACATTAGTGAAAATTGCAAAGGGCATATATGCTTTCATTTAAGCTTATTTGAGTTGCTGCAAGAATAAGAGTAGCTTTCCCTAGAGTGGTTGCAAAGTTTCTTAAAAGTTCATTTTGTCTAGTTAATAAATAATTATAAGTGCTAGCATTCTTGCAAAACACATGAAAGTGGAAAATGTTTGCCTAAAGATCACTGTGACTACAGTGAACGATACAGACAAAGCTGAGCATATAACAATCAGAACAAGCTGCTAAACTAGTAGCGATTATAAGCTCCCAGCAAATAGATCATTTTAATAAAAACCGACTCATCAACTGTGTACCTGCGTATCGCAATAACAGCTCTCTTTGATATTTCATTGGCAAGCTTTCTGACATGTCTAGAAAAAATTCAGTGAATTGATGATATTATATTTTCCCTGGCAGCTGAAAAACTATACAAGATCGTATGTGTTGAACAGATAGGCAGGTTAGCAGCTAGTAAATAGCCAGTATCAAGATATCCTAATAACGCTTCAGTTATTAGGCACTGATCTGTGTTTCTGATGGTAAATAAATAGGCAAATACAAATCCTTTATTGAACAGCCTCTCCAATTAATCTATCTATCAACATAGTATGCAGTGTGTGAGATGCTGACACTGGGGGGAACAGCAAATCATGTAGTAGTTTAGGGTCCTTTTTGGTTCTTCGTAGTTAATGGTCCTAGGGGTCATAGGGGTCCTATGGTCATAGAGTCCGGTTTTTCCAGTAGTCATCAGAATCTTCACAAATGCGTCAGACTATTTTTTACAGTGAGATAAAAGTCTCAAATGGGTGCAAAAACAGGTCTGATGGCTCAATCATCACATTCCCAATGTATTCATACTACGTCCTTACTCTTATCAGGGTTGCCGATTGCTTAAATGGTTGGCGACCAAACATTCAACAATTTTACAGTTCATGGCCTACTTCAGCCAGCCAAACAAAACATTCAAAATCAGCTAAATTTTGGTTAATTCTGTGGAATAGTAGTTTGATAAAAATGGCTTCCAACGTTAAAGTAACATACATTTTTTTCTTTCCATTGTCTGCTAACTTAGACTTTGTTTCATGTTTTGTTACTGGAATTTTAACGTTTTTTGACATAATGTTATTCATTCTTTGAGTAAAAATAGTTTCTTTGCATTGTACTTTCGTTTTGTTTTGCTTGGTTTTTCATTTGCAGCCAAATTTCAGCCAACCTCTGCTTTTTCGGTCGAATCAATTTCCGACAGCTTATAAAGACAATATTTGACATTTATCTGAACCAAGCTTATAAAGTGAAAAAAATCCGCATGAGAAACAAAAAATAATTCAACACTGGATACTGTAAGTCCTCGAATAATCCCCCGGGGGCTTATTTTACACAAAATATTTTAGGACGGGGGCTTATTCGAGGGGAGGGGCTTATCTAGCAGTGGGCAAAAATATAACGGGGGTAAATTTTATTCTTCGTAGATGGTCAGTATGCTTTAAAATGAATATGAATTAGGATAAACCTGTTGCTGTGAGGGTAATTTCTTAGCCCATGATGTCTTTTTTGAGGGTGGGGGCTTATTTCACAAAAATTACTTTAGGGTAAAGGGCTTTTCTGAGGGGGCCTTATTCGAAGATGGGGACTTAATCTACGACTTACAGCAGCCTAAAATAAAAGCATAAGTGCATTGTATTTTTGCAAATTCTCTATTAAACCAGCAACTTGAATGAAACTAGATAGATAGGAGTCTGAATCAGACGCATGAAATATTTTATGAGTGTGATTTACAGCACACATGGACATTTTTTTATGATGAAGACTGATTAAACATACCACGCAAAAATTTGGTTTCCACATCAAGTTCGTTGACATTTAAGTCTTGCGACTGAACTAATTTCTTTAACTCTCTCCATAGTATTTCTTCCTTTGGGAAAGTTTTGATCCTACAAAAACAATGATAGCTTTACTGAATAGTGTATAAAAAGCTACATATATAGCATTAGAACATCCATGCAAAAAATTGAGATAGCTAACATCCTTTGAAGAACACATTTTAAATTCAGATAATAACCTTAGTGGGCTCCATTTTCTAGAGAGAATCCTCCAGCCTTTTTAATGCAACAATTGGTGCAAATGGATTTATTTCTCAGAATACAATATTCACACTGCTGTAAACAATTGAGATATGGCAAATAATTTATATACTTCATTATGCTAGAATGTAAGTTTAACTTTCATACATTTCAAAGAAGAGCCTTCCACAATGGTTCAGCTTTCCGCTCCTTTTTTCCATAAGAAAGGCTTCATACTAAAAAAAACAGGCGAGATCAAACATACAATTCACTTTATCGCATACTACTGCTCTCTGGAATTCCAGGCGAAGGAATCACCAGGTAAGGTCACTTTGAGAGTAAGGACCAGGACACTGCTTGATAAGCATAAGCTTCTCAGTGTCCTAAAAACTACCTTCGGATGCTAGGTAGAAACAAATACAAATATGAAATGAAAATTTTAGCTCATCTAGTTGCTACAAATGGTGTTGCTTCAATTCACAGGAACAAAATAAAAACATTATTTCTGACATTATTTCGGTCTTTGTGTTTATGATGTAAATTGATTACCATTGAGCGCTATCAGAACAGGATTTGTGGAGATAATTGTGAGAAGGTGTAAGAAAGTGACACGAACAGGGTAGGACATGAATCCATGATCAGTTTACAAAGCTGATGGGTATTACCTTTAAAAAACTTTAAAGTTATATGTTAGAAAAACTTCCAAATGCTGCTTTATACAGTTCCTTTAGGCTAACTGGTTATAAAAGATACAGAATAAATTACAAAGTTACAGATATAAAGCTTATAAATTTAACACTGATTGCAATAGCTACAAATTAAGAAAAAATTGTGTCTTCAAACTTTTACAGTTAATAATGCAAATAATCAGCTCTTCCACTTCTTGCTAACAATCTTGGCATGTTATTCTGGTATTTCTATATCATATACATAACATTCTCCCATATTTTATAAAAATGAAGGTTGCTATTTTTTACTTTAAGTCATCCAGCACACATAGCACTTGAACAAAAGTAAGTGTAAGTTCTGCATAAAAAAACCTCTGATAAAAAATCAAGTGAAACACAATTGCCATATGATACAGATGGAAACATAGATGTGTGGCAAAAGCTAGGTTTTCAGCTTTTTCTCTTCTATCACTGCACCTATGAAATTTTAAAGAACTGTGGGTAACCTCCATCCAAGAAGATGGGGGTGCTGCTAGTTCAAGCTCGTGTTAATTTGTTAGTTATTCTATGTGCCTTATTGGAACTCTGGGAAGCAGAAAGAGACAGTCTATATGCAAGGCAGTGATTGTAACAACCAAAATGGAACCATGCATTCTCTTTTGCATCTTCTTGCTCTTCACCACTACATTTCTCTAGAGTGACTTTGATACTTTTACATGTTTCTAGAAAAATTGTGCCTCAGCATATTGATTGCCAGGAGGATTTGCAATTCCCAGCTAGTGGTTCTCTGCATTTCAATTATAAACAGGAAGCCTGCTTCCAACTGCTGATTGCTTTATATAGCTTGGTAGCATCAATTTTAACAGTGATAAACCATTATACAGTCAATTCTGGGTGTTTTAGGTGTGACAGGAGGGAGGGACTAGGGGCTACATTAAATGGAAAAATCCTTTCATGGGACATGCCTAATGCTTTTCAGGAGTGAAAAATATCACATGTCTTCTTTTATTTTGAGAACAAATCCTTGATGATTTTGGGTTATTTTGATGATTTCAAATATCTATCCTTCTTTAGTACTTTTATTTCAACCCTCTTCAAAAAGGCTTAACCTCTTATTTGGAAAATTCTGAAATCATAGGACTAATTTGCAGTGAATCTCGATAGAATGAGCCAGGCTTTCGTGGAAAAATATAGCAGGCGTGCTAACCAACACATGCCTGAAAACATCCAGGTGTGTGGTGGCGTGTGACATTTTTTTCGCCAAAATTTAAGGTAATTATGATAGATCTAGGCAAAAATTGCCACACACGACAATGCTGAAAGCAATAATTTCGATGAAGATCTCTTCCCTGAATTTTTAGCATAACTACCTAAATTTTAACAAAAAACTTAAGTTTTTTTTGAAAATTTGAGCAAGTTTCTACACAAGAATAAACTGAGCTCATTTAATATATCAACAAAAACACAGCCATACCAGTACAGGAATATGTTTGCTATGTCAATAGCAGTTTTTATCAGCTTCAATAGTGAATTCTTAGCAGAGTCATTGAAGACTTGGCATTCATCTGGTTGTAATGGCTGTTTTTGCATGTAGATCCATGTCCCCAAGGGTCGTCTGTTATCAAGCATGACAACTATTTTATATACTTCACTGACCAGATGTTGATAATCCACGAAGTATATACATAAAAGATCACGATTGGCAATTTTTTATTAAATTTAATGTTGCCAAATCTAGATTTAACGCAAAGCTTAAAAAAGGGTGTAAGAGGGTACAAAAACCGAAATCCGCTGCTTTTTATCACATAATCAGTAAATCCTCTATTTTTGATAAATTAGCCATTGAAAATGAAAATCTTGTTCACAAAACTTGCTGGTTGCGCAATACAAAATGTGTTTTGTATTTTCATGCAGTATGATATCAGGCCTGTTCTTTGAATTATAGTCAAAGCGTGCTGGTTGCGCAAGAGCATTTAAAATTCGGGGAAAAAATGTCTGTTATAGTCTCTTGTGTTTGGTATTGTTCACTGGAATGCCATAAAGCCTTGAAAAAAGTTGTAAACTTTTGCACAAATCTCTTATATTCAATTTTTAGCAAAATAAAAGTGCATGTTAGCATGTGCCAGGGCGTGCAAGTATGATAATGCGCCTTTCTGACAAAAGCCTGTTAACCCCGGATATACCAAATCTTCCAGTATAATGAACTAAATGCCTGGTCACTTAGATTTTGCTAAACTCTTATTACAAATTCTCTCGGTGCAACAAATCATGGATAAAACAAACTCTCTCATTACACACTCAATTTTAGCTTCCTTCATCACAATTTTCCTTTTTATAGTGAATAATTCCTAAATTTTTCATCTGTTATTTTGTTTTATATATTCTCAGTGTTCACTTATCATTTTCTCTTGGGGGAAATCATTATACATTGACAAAACATACATCGGCAAAACATACCAGCAAACATTAACTTTTTATGTTTCTGAAAATAGAGAAGAGATGTGTGAAAAAGTTTACACCTTATCAATGCTTTATGAACAATTTCAGTGAACAAATCAAAAACACAAAAGACTGTAACAGACTCCCCCCCCCCCCAAATTTGGGAGAACATAGAGCGCAACGAACAAGACTTCCTTCTTCAATTATAAATAATATCTTAATTCAGCTTGTTTGTTTCTGAGTACACAGAATGCTTTGGGGATAGCCTAAATAACCCATAGAAGACTTTTACAAATTTATCTCTGTTTATAGAACCCCAGACATGACAGCAAACAATTATTTAGTTCCCTTCAGAGTTGGTTATACCGGGATTCCACTGTATTTTCGTCTCTACCAAATCACTTGCCTATTAGGCAAGATATCACAGAACATCATGCACCCTTGCCAAGGAGCAGCAACTGAAAAGAATTTGAGGTATGTAAATCCTTTGAAATCAAGTTTTGAAATGTATGTGGTTGATGTAGCAAATTCTCTTTGCTTCAAGTGGGAATCCTCCAAACTTACAACTTTTGTCAGCGAATTACAATCACATGTTAAGTCTTAAAAAATACAGCCTTATGATAAAGATTACTACCTTGTATCCTAGTCATGTGCTTCTAAACTTAGTTATCCTCTAAACCTACATTTTTGCAACATTTAATTTAATGAAAAAATTATCAATCATTATTTTTATGATGCATTTTACATTTTTTATGCATTAAAATTTTATGGACTGTGAAAATTTTAGGTTGATCCACATCTGAAGCACATAAAATAGCTGTCATACGTGATAAAGAGGACCATCAGAAAACGGATTTACACACAAAACCCGCCATTACAACCAGATGAATGCCAAGTTCTCGGGGAAAATAACACTGTTCTTGCATCAGTTTGGTAGACATTTTAACACAAAACGTGCTTGCATTTCTTTGGTCAAATCTTAGCCATTTTGCGCGGACGAAGTGAAAAATGCAGGGATGGGAAATTTCTTCCGAGGGCAATATTTTGCAGGCGCAAAACAAAGTCTGGACTGGAAAAAAGGTACTTTTCTCGTCCCTGCTATTTAACCTCGTGTTTATCACAGCTTTTAGGGAAAATTTAGGTGAATTATTTTAAGCAAGAAGTTATCTTCTTTGTTTACGAAAATACTTGAAATATGACTGAATTGTGCGAGGAAGTGCTAAGAAAAGTGTTATATATGTGCAAAAGTTGTGGATGAAGAAACCATGTTGAATTCGAGGAACAACAACAACAAAAACACACCTGAACAGCAAATGCTTTCGGATATAAAGATTTTGCCGTCAAAAGCCACGATTTTGCACCATACAAGTCCCCTTTTGATACCGAATCTCTAGACTGGTCGACAAGCCATTCTGCACTACAACCTGCTCCATGCTCTTTTTCTTCAGGCCCCTTCATTTTCCTTTTCAGGTCCCTTCAACTTAGCTCTCTCGGCCTTCAGTCCACAACTGGAGCGCGGCGCACGCAGCAAACACGCGTTTTAGCAAAGGAGCCTGGATCGAGCCGATTGCACATTGTCACTCTCTTCCATCTTGAAAAGCAGTGAGAAAACTGAACGTGGTCAGGTGAGGGAAATAAACCTTTTCTGTAAAAAAAAACAGATTTTGAAATTCCATTTTTGTATTGATCGATGCTGTGATAATTCAGGTATATTGTAGCACCAATTTGCTAAATTCAAGCCCCGTTTTCCCCCAAATAGAATGTATTTGAGAATTAGAGGTCAAAATTTGGCTAGGCCCCATGCTGCAGACTAAAAGTAAGATTACCGTAAAGGATCGTTCATTTTGACGACAATGATAATCTTATGGCCGAATGAAAATAACGTATCGTTACCAATGCGCGGGGAACTGTTATTGCAATGAAAAAACGGCACCGGTACCTATCAAATAGACATTTTGCATGTTCAATTAAGTTTACGTTTTTTGTCCTATGATGTGCAAAAAATTTTACTGATAAAAGTTTAAGAAACTACATAACAATTTTGGACACTAAACGTGACCATGAGGTGGATATTTTGATTGGTCTGAAGAGGAAAAATGACCTTTTTGTTACTATCTCAGCCCCCAGATAGTGTGTAATTGCTTTGGTTTAAAGTTTAGAATGGAAAAAGGTCAAAATACACACCTGTAAAGTATATTGTATATTGTTTAAAATAATTAGGAAGAGTTCCCAACAGATGTCCTTTTTATGTGGATGCAATAATGAAGTAAAGTATTAAATATTCTCTATATTTCTTTTAAATTTCAGAACTCACTGTCAAGCCAAAATGCAGATCTTTGTAAAGACTCTCACTGGCAAGACCATCACACTTGAGGTTGAACCAAGTGACACAATTGATAATGTGAAGGCCAAAATCCAGGACAAAGAGGGTATTTAAAACTTCAAATTTCTTTATTGTTTGTTTTCCATTAGATGCATGCAAATTCTTTTCAACTGTAGGCTGAAGGACTGTGAAACCGATAAATAGAAAAAACTGTTGTGTTTGAGTTGTTGTTCTTTTTCATGTTAACTTTGTATGTGCCTTATTTTTTTACATCAAGTTCAATGAACGCCAAAAAAAATTTTATTGGCCTGCACTCCGAATGCCTGAAAAACACCTGTGTGTACACCGAAGATCTTTGGGCAGAAGTACATGGAATGCACCCTGGGATGCATGTGAATAAAAGTACCCAGACATGTTATCTTTTTGACATGTTATCTTTCCTGGTACATGATGAAAATTTTCACTATAATATTCAGATTTCAGAAGTTCAATTTTTTTCTTTCCTATCTATTCACAAAAAATTAACCAAAGCATAAAATAGACTTATCATCTTATATTTTTGCAAATACTTTATCATTTTATCTCTCTAACATATTGATATGTTAAATTTCTAACAAGTATTTTCTTCGCTCAAAAGGAATTCCTCCAGATCAACAGAGGCTGATCTTTGCTGGAAAACAGCTTGAAGATGGCAGGACTCTCTCAGATTACAACATCCAAAAAGAGTCAACACTCCATCTTGTGCTTCGTCTGAGAGGTGGTGTTATTGAGCCTAGCTTGCGTCTCCTTGCCCAAAAATACAACTGTGAAAAAATGATTTGCCGAAAGTATGTAAAACAATTTATTTTATTCACTATTTATACTTTTCTTTTGTGTCCTTGACTTTAATTACATGTTGGCTTAGAATCACACCTCTGTTTTCTTATCTTATTGCCTTGCAAATATGTTTTCAATGCCTGGTGATATCTGTATTTTAAAAACAAGCAGATTTTTAATGTAAAAGGATTTCAAACCCTGGAAAGTAGTTCATCAATTTTACAGTTCCTCGTACCAATGCAAAATGATAGAAGAAATCTAACTTACTTAGTTATAAGTTGTCACATCACATCTTCTAAAAATATTATTTGAGGGTGCAGTCTTTGTAATATGAAAATAGGCCGCGTGCGGCATTTCGCACGCCTTGGTTACTTTGCGCGTGCGATGGCGTGCGATGCGAACCGCTTTTTATCGGTTATTTCTCATCCCTGTTGTCAAGAATTGGGTGCTGCTTTTAAGGAGACCTTTTGTGTTAGAAACCAAGGTAATTGACGGAGAAACTGTTCTTGTTCTTTTTTAAAGATGTTAAATTTAATTAGTGACTTAAAGAAATCTTGATTGAAAAAAAATTCTGTTACCCATAGACCCTACCATCCGTCGAGACATTGCCATGCAGCATCACTGACTTCAGTAGCATCATTAACATAGCAGATATTCATAAAATGAATATCTTAGCGGATATTCATAAAAAATATCTTACCGTTAGATCGGTATTCCTTTGGAGTTGAGCTAACAATCAAATGAGAAGGAATGGGTAGAGAAATGACACAAACGTCGAAATGAACACACTTTCTTTGGGCACAAAAACAAGTTTAAAACAATTTAAAAATAAGTACAGGCACCGTCACTTTCTTCTTCATCAGAGCTTTTTTCATCATCAGAGCTTTCTTCAGCTTCCTCCTCCCTATCTAGCTTCGGTTTCTCCGATAAACTGTTGCACTTATTCTGCTTTCGCTTTCTGCTTTTCGAAAGATAGATCTCCGTTGCCCTTTTCAAAATATTCTCTCTTTCTTCGTCAGTCCATATAATGTCATTGACTGCGATGCGAAGTCTCATCTCCATAACCCTATGTGACATTCGCAATCTTCTATCTGACAATAATATGCTGAGAATACTGAATGCTCTCTCTACCGATGAATTGGAGCCAGATATTGCAACCATTATATTTGCGAGAATGCACAGGTTGAGGTACTCGTCAGCCCTGCAATAAAGCGTATTTTTCCACAGCTTTCTTGCTTCAATCCCAGAAGCATTATATTGTACGTATTTTTTGAATGACTTCCATTCCTTGAGAGCTTTCGAAATGTTAAACTTTGTCTCGCTGAGGGGAGGGGGGGTTTGAAAATAGCTGCAAAAGCAGTGACCTCTGGGACCCCGTAATCCTTGTTGCCGTTCCATTGCTTTTGATCAAACCACTTCATCGTACTAAACACTCCATCAGCATCATCGAAGTAACATAATCCTTTTCCGACTTGAAACCGATAATTTCGTTCTTTCCCCAACCAATGAATGTTGCCAGCTCGACTTTGTTCCCTTTTGCCATGATTAACGAAGAACAGAAAAATCAATCGAACAGTGAAAACATCTCTTGGATCGAAAATTTAAATTGCCGGGTTTTGACAGTAAGCACCAGGTGTTGATTGCAGATTAATCCCCTTTGGGTGAACTGTTAAGCGATCTTGTCTTATTAAGTGATTTTTTTGACGCTGTTGTTAAATCCCGTATCGGAATACTTTAACAACACCTTGGACAACGACAGAACCGACTTTGGCGACTTTGAGTTACTTTGAGATGAGCAATTTTAAAAAAATTTTGTGGCAAATTCTTTGTTTTGCGCGTGCGATCGCACGCCTCATATTACAAAGACTGAGGGTGCATCATCAGTTAATTCTAAATTGAACTTTCTCAGCACCGTTCATCTTTGTGTTATTAATGTTGCTGCTGGGTATGTTTTTGAACCCATGGTAACCATTGTATTTAATCCTTATTAAGCAAAACCAGAAATCACTGTCTTAAATATTATCTTCATCTGCCTATCATTTAATTCTAGATGCTATGCAAGGCTACACCCAAGAGCTAAAAATTGCAGAAAAAGAAAGTGTGGACACTGCAATAACTTGAGGCCAAAGAAGAAGCTTAAATAGACACTTTTAATTGTCCTTGTTCAAATGTGATAAAAGCAATAGATCACTGAATTCTTCTGTTTTTATATTTCATCTCAAGGCAGAGTTGGGCTGCAATAGCTGCAACATCAAAGGTCTTTCATTGTGCAATAGTAAATGTCAATGTCAAATTTTTTTATAAGGCATCAGCAGTAAAATGCTCAGATCCTGGTACCTATTGCGTAGGCAAAGTAGACCGTTGGTATTCTTCTTCCTGGATGGTTAACAAAATGTTAGAATCAGGGATTACAACAATACCAAATGCGGCATTGATAATGCTTTCTAGATCAGAAGAAAGGCAATCTTCTTCTGATCTAGAAATTATTCTCAAGACACAGATGAAAGAAAAGTGAAAATATTAAAGCAAATGAAATATGTTCTGAAAGGTCATAGAGAAAAGTAAAGTTGAAAAAATTCGATTCAAATTGAAACAATGAAAAAAAAATGTTAATAATGAATGCCTGTAGACCCTCCAAAAACATTCAATATGTTATGTGTAAAAAGATAGCTCCATAAAAAAATGGAGGCACAGTAAAACCCTGCAAACAAGAACCTACTTTTCTAAAGAACAGACTGACTAGGTTCTTATAAATGTGATACTCATGATATGTTCAGGGTGTGGCTCTTATCGCAAGGACACTTACAACTATGATGCACAAGTAACTAGATTTAAGAATGGCCTGACTGAATTTCAAATTGTAGAGGATATGGTATTTTGTTGGGGACAAACCAATTTCAATCACAATATGAAAAAATGAAAATAAAATGACATGGCTCTGAATATCAATTAATCGAACCACAATGACGACTTGAAAACTATACTTTCAAGCTTTGAGAATTTCGTGTTTTATTTAACATGATGTACAATCTCATAAGAACATGGAAAGAAATCAGTCTGTTTTAGGTTCTTATCTGTGGGTGTTATTTTCCACAAAATCAGTCTGTAAGTTCTTATTTTCCTATGTTCTTGTTTGCGGGGTTTTACTGTATCTTAAGATTATTTAACGCAAAAAGGAAAATATACCTATAGAAAAATTATCAGGCAACAGAAAACTGTTTCAAAACAAGTTACAGCCTGCGCATTATATAAATTACATCAAGAGAAGTTGGTGTCAAATGTGTTCAATGATGACGATGTTGTTGTTGGAAATGATAAGAGCAATTATGACTCAAATTTTGAAACAAAATAGAAAGCAGTAGCAAAAATATATTGTTCCTACAAAGTAGTGTACACAAAATGCTTTATGGATGAGCAAGGAGAATCATCGTAGCATTTTTGTTAAATCAAATATGGGTCTGACATAAAAAGGGTGTATAAGGAAGATACTCTTTGGCTGTCTATAGCCATACGACAGCCATCCTTAGAAGCAAACTCAAAATATCCGTTCCAGTACCACTGTCCTTTAAAAGATGTCTGTACAAAGTCACCAGCAATTCTCCAAAAATAATTTTGGTAGACCACATCATCTGGATGCTCTTCAATTGCTTTATTTTACATTAATATCACAATGCTGTTCAACTTTTTCTCATAAAATCTGCCGGACGTTGTTATGAAATGTTCTGCACTCTACGTTTACAAAAGCTCCAGGTCAGGCCAAATAACGCTACGCTACAGTACTCTACTGTACAATGAACCAAGGGGCGAGGCGAGGCAAGGCAAGGCAAGGCAAGGCAAGGCAAGGCGAGGTGGCTGCTCTTTAAAAGATGATAATCAGACATTGGGGTGTAAGATTCTTTTCTAGCTACACCATTTGTGTAGTTTCTTTGGCGAGACAGTTTTTCATATCTTTAAACTATGATTACGTATCGAGGTTAACTTTCAGTACTGGCTCTCTTTTGCTATGAAAAATAAGATCCAAAGCTCAAAAAGGCAAGATCCGTAGCTCATTACAGGGACCCCATTAAAGTTCTCTATGGACTGCACCTATCCTTGGTTCTTCATAATTTATTTCACCTTTCTTTCTAATAATCTAGCAGTTTAAATTTTGATACTGCAATTTTAAACACACACAGAAACTGTACTTTTTATCCTCTGATTGAGAACGGCTATGAGAAATATCGCTAGCTGAAGGCGTTAAAGAAAATGGGAAAGTCGCAAAAACTTCCTACGAATATGATCAATCACATCAGCTGTTAATTTCGTTTTTAGTTTTCGTTTCCACCCGGCTGTGAAATTTTCAAGGACTGGAACAGTTCTAGATTCTGCGTTAGAAATACTCTTCTGTTCCATTGATGGGATTGGCATTGCAAATGTACATTTGTTTGTAACTTCATGACTGCATAAGTAATTCCTCGTTCACATATTTTTTTCTTGCTACCGAATATTAATTCACCAACATTTTTGGCACCGTATTTTTCGATACTGCATTTACACCCCCCCCCCCCCCTTTGCAAGCCAATCGTTCTATTTTCTATAAACCCTGGTTTTTTAAACCAGCTATTACTGATAGAAATGACTTTGAAACATCCAAAAAATTAAAAATTTGCGGGATTAAAGGGAAAGCATGGTCAGGCGTGTTTAGTCATCAGATCAGAAGCAAAAAGAAAATATTAACTATTGCATACTTTCATTAAAAAACTATTCTTTAAATTCACTCTTTAATACTAAATATACAACAAACCGGTTTTTTATTGAAATAATTTACTAACACATTACAATCTGGGGTTTCTGGGCAAAACTTTTTTCTAGGAAAGGATGATCAGTGTTAGGTCAATATTAAGTGCAAAGGCGAAGCTTGGTACACTCTTCTAACCCAGCTCCTCTGTTGTGGCAGTGGGGTAGAGTTCGAGGCAATTTCAACCTTCCAGTTAATGCTCCATTGCTCTCGCACTGTGAAACTTTTCCTTGGCTATCGACTCTGCTTGAAGACACATTCGAAAATTGTATTCGATCCAACGTTGCAATTTTGACATATATCTTTCGAAAATGAGAAACATTACCAAATTCATATTCTCAAACATTATTTCTAAATTCGTAAACAACGCTTTCAACTTTTATATTATATATTTTACATGGAGCTATGGAAAGTTTCCGTACATTAAAATATTAACAACCTTGACAGTGATCACACTTAAAACTCATTGCGTCATGTATTACACTCACAGGCCACGTCAAATGATCCACACGCAGAGCCTACGCTGCTTTAGTTATTGCATTTGCAATCTTCAACGCCGGTCCGAGTTTTATCTTGAGATGATGTATCATATCGGCTTGGCTGAGAAGCAACAGAGCCTCTCCATCAATTTGCTGCAAATGTAAAACATTTTATAATTTGTAAAACATTGCAAATGTTAAACAAATGTAAATCAGATTGCGTTGCGTATGCCCATATATCAACAAAAACTGGGATATATGCAACAACTAAACCAAGAAACAGAATAATTGCATTTTCTGTTGATTCTCATGTAAACGCTTAAAAGTTGAGACATTTGAATCAAAAACATATTTTCCGGAATTAGCCAGAAATATCAACAGATGACTCACAAAACATGGAACAAGAACAAAACATTTTTAGGGAGTTAAAGGGCATGTGTCGTGAACATGATTGGCTAATGGAATACAATTATCTTTTTCTTAGTACAAAGCATAGAATCGAGGGTGAATTTTTACGACAGTAAAAATTCAAGATGAAGAAGTGAAAAGCAACGAAACAATGGAATTCCAAACGCTTTATTATTAGCCAATTGTTAATGCGACATATGCCTTTTAAGAGCACCTAGCTCACTAGCTCAGCTTCCAAATTCGATCAATCTGACACAAGGGAATTTTATCAAAAGATATTTAATGAGATTGAAAAACGTTGTCTTTTAATTTACAAATCTATGCCTAATATTTCTTACAACAATATATTTCATAAATTTTCAATGAACTTTTCAAAGAATTAACACGAAAATCAAGAGCATCTCTGCTCATTTACATGTTCTTTAATATCAGTTGCCTCTTGAAAGTTTCTAAAAACCTAACGGTGTCTTGGAAGTCATGACTGGACTGTCTGTTTTAACTGGAATTTAAAAAATTTTACCAACCTGTTCTTCGAAATGCATAGCATGCTCAACAAGTCCAATCGATCTAATAAATTCTGCCACATCTCTTACTGTCCAGCTTTTTATCTGACTCGACTCAAATTTTAGCTTATTTTGAGTTTTGTTCATAACTTTAATAATTGGCATGTTTGTTTTTGTCTGTGGTTTGTTGGGAGTTGACGTGCTTGAGACCATATTGTCGGGCTGCGATGAAAGCCCGTTACCTTGAAAAATATAGATAAACAATAAGCCATAAAAGTCATAAAAAGATGTACGTGATGGCAATTATTATAATTGTTAGGATAATATTGATGATAATAATGATGACGATTTTGATATGATGATTCATGGTGATTGACAGTTTTTGATTGACAGTAGTGCTGGTGTGGGCATGATGATGATGATGTCCGGTTATTAAAATAAAATATCTAGCTGCTAACAGTGTACATCAAAGTTGTGGCTCAGGACACTAAGAGAAAAATTTCAGTTAGTTTCTATGGCTGGTTAAGGAAAACAAAGAAATAACTAGAAATAGCTGAAGAAAGCAGGATAAAGCAAAACTAACGAAACCACTTTAAAAAAGCAAAGAAAGAAAAAAGAAAGACAAAGAAAGGTAAAACCAACGAGCTTTTTTATCACATAAATTTTGAGGTTGAGCAGTTTTGTCATTATTCCTCATTTGAAAGACAAGACACCAATTTTATTGAATCAATTATTTTTTTCTTTGACGGAGTTTCTACTATTCATAACTATTTGTATTACTTTTAGAATTTCATATCACATCTTACTACATTGCTTGTGATAATCTGTGCTTGCTATTGGTTCTGATTTCGATTATTGAAAAAATTACCCGACCCATCAAGTATTCCTGAACAAATCAAGCATTGAAAAGATTTCCCGACCTGGAGCTAGCCGTCTCCCTGTGCATATTAGCATATTATGGCTTGAGCCGCCGAGTACCTCTAGTTCGTGGTATTGAAAACGGGTAGCAGTGTTTTTATTTCAGTACATCATTTTTTTAGATAAAAAAATATGAATCAACTGTATCTTGAAACTTGTGAGTCATACTAGCTTTAGTTTTTCCAATCGAGGTTTTCTTTGTATACTCCTTCCAAGTTTATCAAACCATAGTCAATACTTATTATTGACGTTTATTAAGATATTTTCGAGTACAAAATGACTTTTGGTATAATACTGGCATTTTTGGCAATTTTCTTATCTATATGTTGGAGGTATCTTGCAACAAAAGGCTATTATGAATTTTAACTCCCAAATATTTTTCACATTAACCTACCTGTATGACACTTTTACATATTCTTTTACCAATGATCTATCTTTTTATAATTTTATCTACTTCGGATGAACAGCTAAATAATTTGATTTGCATTGCATGTATTCTTTGTTCAGCAATGGGCAAATCTGTTATTAGTTTTGACGATCTTAAACTCAAAGAAAATGTGATAGTGCAATGACTAACAAACAAAAATTGCTAGCTGAAATTATCACTAGAGGAACTAACAAATAAACAAGACATAGAAATATAAACCAACCTTCTTGTTGCAAGTAAAATCCCTTTTTGTTTATTTTGGACTTTTCCTTTAATGCCAGCCTAGAAAATAAAACGCAGAATTATTTTCTAATATTGTAACAACCAATCAAGCTTGATATTTTCTTAACGTCCATGTATAAACATGATCAAATATAAATAGTCAGAGAGATTATAAAGAACGAATACAGTGAACAGGCTAGGAAACATTATAAAAATATTTACTTTGTTTGATTTTTCGTGAAGAACTTAGGTGCTTTTGGAGACTGCTTTTCTGACGGTTTCTTTGCAGGTCTTCCAACAATTCCTTTCAAAAGTCTGTAGGAAAAATATTCATATAAATTTTCATTTTCAATCACCTCACACTTGATGAATCTACATTATGGTTTATCTTCTTCTAAAAATCATTTTTAAAAACCACACACAAGTAAATAATTCCAAAAATTATCTATTCATCAATCCTTACTTTTGTTGCTTGATCAAGTCTGCTTTAGTTGTTGAATCTGGGTATGTCTCTAAAGAGAAAGAAACGCATCAAAACAAATAAAAGTGCTTTCTTCTATGTGAACCAATATTACATTTAGATCTTTGTGATATGACGCATCTAAGTCTTCAAATACAATCTAACATGCAAAGTTTATCTTAAATTGTTCTCGTAATGTGGGTTCACCAAAGTTTCCTTTGGAATCCTTATGAAAGAACCCCTGTTTCTAATGCAAATTGACTATAAACCTTATGATAAGAGCTCAAGTCACTGCTGGGAGCTGGGAAGTGTGAGCATCAGAAGTTAGTTACTCAGAAGTTAAAATAGGTTTCCGCTGAACTTATATAAAGGACAGGATTAGCATAACATTGAGAAAAACAAACTACAGATTGGTAAGTATCTACTTGATTGGTTCGATAGCTTGAGTTTTGAATAAATTTCTCCTTTGTTAGGAAATAAATAAAATTACCTTCCCCATTTTTCGGAACTCTGCTGTTGTAAACTCGACTTGAGATTGAGGGCTCCTCTCCCATTGAATTGTTTGCCAGGCGATCGACAAGGGGTGATCCCCTGGTGACGTTAGTTGGCGAGTAGGGGCAACCAAATATGCTGTGATGGGTTGTGTACTTGGCACCTTTCACGTGACCAATCCCACGACAACCAGGGGTAGGGCAGAGGGTTGTGTCTTGGGCATCAAGGAAGGCTATGAAACAAGGAAAAGTTAATTTCAAACTGATTACCCTGATTCAAATTCAGGCTCAGTACCCCTACCACAAATATCATCAGGGTAGCTACCCAAAAAAGTTCTAAAAAGGACATGACAGTTACTTACACGGTGGAGGTTCCAAGGCATGCCCCGTTTTTTCGCACCATCCAACCGGATGCAGATCATTTGACTCGGAGTCAAACCAATAATCATACATGTTATCCCATCCATCGAAGTGAATCTTAAGCTGGAAATCCTCAATATATGTAATCGTGCCCACTCTCACTAACGACGGATTCCTTGGATCAACAATTTCTAATTTCTGACTGACTTTGAAGTTTGTTGCAGCTCTCTGATTGGAAAGGATAAGACATGAAAAAATCTAGTTCACACGATTTACGATAAGAAAAGACATACGATTTTTATCAGTAAAAATAATATCTTCTATCCATCTGACTTATAACAACTTACAGAAAAATTGTAGACAAAAAGGCACAAAATCTCGAGCAAATCCTTCTAATATGGGAGATTAATTCGGGAATGCAGTTAAACCAATGTGCAACTGCTTAATGATGCCGCAAAGTCTGAAAAAGTTCTTCCTTTCTTAATAAAAACATTTTGCTAAACTTAATGCTAGCTAAAGTCCGTTTTAAATCGCTCTTTATTAGACATAAAAATACAAGCCTGATTTTCAAAATGTAGCTGAACCATTTTGAATCCGAGGGAAAAACTAAAAACTTCTAACATGGTAGAAACGACAACCATTATGCTTCTTGTGTTCTAATTGAAGGCAATTTCCCACCGGTCTTTTCATCTTAGCTTTATCCTGTTCTATTTTCAAGTCTCAGTTTGAATTTATATAGTATTATCAAATTAATGGATCCAAAATGATTTTCAAGTCCTTGATCCGAAGTCTGCTGCAAGAATTTTGATGAAATACCTAGCCTCTACTTTGAAAATTGAAATCCATATTTCGTATTTGTCAGCTTAGCTGGGGACTCCACAAGATTCATGTTTTCAAGAAAGAGTTAATTTTGCCCTTCAACTAATCGCTAATCAAAACTATGTTTTCAAGGAAAACTAGACTTCGAACGTTGTAGGGATTTCCAGGACGAACGATATTGGCTGAAACCACATGCCTGTAAACAGTCGTTTCTGCGGCAAAAAAATACAAAACGTCCACAGTTGTGCAAACCACGAGAAGAAATTTTTGGTAATCACTGTGCAATTTTTACCATTTGCGCAACTGTGATGCATCAGAAAACACAATTCTATGTGGTGATTGCATTAAAATTAAACAGCAAAATGAACTTTTTGAATCAGTTTGTAAAGAATGATTTAAAGACTGTTTTAAAATAACTGAATTGAGAAATTCATGTACCAGCAAAAAACGAAATTCTGAATTAAGATGTGGTTTGTTTTTCTATACCTCTAAGTAGACGTAAAGTAAAAATCAGACAGAAAAAGAGATTTCCTGAATCATTACCAGATAAAAAACTAGTTTCGAAGCTTTTTCGTTCAGGCATCAAATAAGATGCTTAATCAAGACATATGGTCACTTCTTTATAATACAGAACTCGAGAAAACCATTGCATGCATATCAAAAATTTTACAATTTCTTATTTTCCATGATATATAAAAATCAAGACTCTACAAGAAACTTTGGCTACCTTTAAAATATGGAATCCTTAATCCGGAATACAGGAATCCGGATTAAGGTTGTTTCTTTACCAGTTTATAGGTAAGATTATTCAAGGATTCGATTATTATAAATGATATTAAAATGAAATTGAAAATGATAAAAGATAGTGTGACACAAAGTTCGATCGCATCAGATTCCGTATTCCGTATTCCGGATCCCATATTTTAAAGGTAAACATTTAATTTCATTGCAAGAATCGATTCAAGAAGAAAAAAGCTTGATAAAAACCTTTTTGAGTAGATGAGGAGGAACAGCAATTGAGTTTGTTTGTTCCAGATACTCATCCCATTTAAACGTGTCAACTTGATCATCTGAAAAGGGGTGATTGTACTCGTTAGCATTTCGTTCTTAGGATGATAAGTCTTTAGTAGTTTTGAGATTTTGATGCTTAGATAAAACGCTAATAGAAACCAAATGTCTAGGAAACAAACTGAGGAGAGATTCGTAACAAGCAAAGAAGAGAGCGGGTGACAGGGATAGCGTTTTTGAGACTGAATGAGGGCTTGGGGGATGTATTTTATATTGATACTTTGTAGAGTGTAGTGATACAAAACCTTTTTTATACCAATTTTTTGCACAATCTAGTCAGATGCAAGTGATGATATGTCTGTCAAGATCGAATGTACAAGAAAAAGAGATTCCAAGAGCTGATTCCAACACGAAAAACATGACATTTTTGCTATTTCAAATCGCATTACTGATCAATAAAGCAAGAAGCTTTTAAAATAGAAGTGTTCAAAAACATAACAAATGCTCCTCACCTTGAGGGGGAGTTAATCTTATGCCGATCTCTCTACACCATCCAACTGGATGCAAGTAGGGACAGGTCTCACGACACCAATAGTCGTATGTGTCATCCCACTCATCGAAGTGGACAAGAAAATAGTCACCAATGACATTTGTGACAGACGCAACACATGTCAGATCTGGGTTCTTCTTGTCCACAGCTTCAAGTTTCATTTTGGTAGTAAAACCATGAGTGGTGGGTGGAATCTTGAATAAAAATCGTTGTTATAAGCAGATCTAGCACATTAATATCTAAAAAGAGTAGAGTAGATAATGCCTACAGGTGACTAAGAATATCTCAGGATACTTTTAATTGGGGGGGGGGGAGGGGGGACGGCTATTTTGTTTTCTAAACCAACTTCTATCATAGGTCCACCTGTCTTGTAGAGGGGATGCCGATCTACAGAGGAACGTAATATGTACTGGCTAAATTGGGATTATAATCTGGATACACAGGATAGGAGACCATAGGGGTAGGAAAGCTGCAAGTGAAATTGATAGAAAACAGTCCAAGATAGTGTTGTTACGTACTTAGAAAAGAAGAGAACAAAGAGAGCGGGGAAGGGTACAACGACTGGAAGTTGAAAAAAAACATCGAAACAGTATCAATGATGCATCACAGTTGTTACAGTCAAGAATAGATTGTGCAGGGGGGTATCTCAGCAAATATCAAATGAAGAGCTCACCTTTTTAAATAAATGTGCAGGGGCAGCCTCAGATCGTGTTACTTCAAGGTAAGTCTCCCAGTTGAATTTGCTGTTTTGATATCCTTTAAAGATGAAAATCTCATTCAACATTTGAATTCGATATATCCATAAACATACTCGTTCAAAGAGAACTCAATAGATTCAAGTTACAAAGCTTGGCTGGCTGTACGTTTATTCCACGACAAAGGTGAATATTCATGATGCTAACAACTGTTTCATAAATTTGCTGCATTTGCCCTTCACCATGAAAAAACAGAAACAAGAAAATCAGAGGACCAAACTAACCACTCTTCTTGTATTTGCTAACAAACTCGTGAGAATATTTTCTGGCGTGATGTTTTTGTTAAATAAATATTTGGAAATCCTTAATAGAGTTAATAACCCAATTCACAACTGTCGGTGATAATTCTCTTTCCGGACCGAAATATTTTCGCTAACTAGAAATAAAGGTGCTCCTTTGCTCCTTTATTTTGCATTTTATTCAAGTGCTACAATCAGGAATGGAAGAAACTGAGCACTACGATGCGGGCGATAATTCCTGTAAATCAAAGGACGCGTTAAGGGCGGGGCCCCAAAAATGGAAAACGTATAAAACGCGTATATTTTTTCATATAAAACACTCTTCTGAAACGAGACTCTATTTATCTGAACTACAGGATACTGCGCAGGCCATAAGTTAAAATATTACATAGGTGTAGTAGAAATAGACACTAGAAGCTGCAACCCCCCCCCCCCCCCCCCAAAAACCAGACAGCATTTATCGCCTTCCAGACTCCAGTTCGACAGTTCTATCTAAATGAAGCAATAATTTTCAGGCAAGATCTGTAACATGCTCCCTAAACGTTTTGCATTTGATCACTAATGACGTGTTAAGAAAACAACATCTTCACATTTGTAAACTTATGCGGGTTAGATAAATTGTACTTCATAGGTGGATTTGAAGTAGAGTTCTCTGGAGGGGGGGGGGGCTGTGCAAGACCCCCTCCAAACGACGGTCTTAGCGTTAGGTTATCCTACTGTATCTCTCTATAAAGAATCATTCACCCGAACTTTTTGCTTTTAAAAACAATTTATAATGGCAGCATCTACACAGCTTTAGAATAACTTCCTGCACTTCAACTGAACGACAGTCCAACTTTATAATGGCAACCTAATCTCACCTCGTGGAAGATTCAGTTTTTGTCCGTTACTTGCACAAAAACCAACAGGGAATAGCAGGTGTGAGTCCGAATTAGTCCAGAAATCATAGCTTTCTGACCAGCCATCAAAATGGAGCCTTAATCTTGCCCCTTGTGTCTCTACAACGCTAACAACACAGATGCATGATGGATGCCTCGGGTCCACAGCCTCAAGTTTCATCCCGGGTTTAAACTCGGTAGCAGGCGCAGGGAAAACTTCGAAATCTGGATTTTCCTGCAAGATATTATCATAACACAAAAGTGTAAAAATACCACCAAAGAATGATTATGAGGTTTCATATTATTTACATTAAAAGGGCCCTTTTTGTTTGAAGACGCTCCTCAAAACAAGGATCTGTGTCATCCAGCCATGTTCAAAATGTAGAAGAGCATGTACGTCTGAAGATCGAAAGCCGAAATTTGGACAATAAAGAAAATAATCCAGTAAAGATTAATTTATTGAGAAATGCGAGCTTTGCTTTTCCTTAGTGTAAATTGTGGAAACCAAAAAAATTGGCTGGGAGAAAAATGTCATCGATGAGGGGACAAAGAAATTTTTTATGTTAAGTGGAACCAACGGTAAAAAATACTTGATTTTACTTGACATCAAAAAGGCGACCTATATTTGCAACCCCTGTGTTTTCTTCATCCGACGTGCATTTGTAAAAGCGACAAATTTAGGCCCATAAAGACTGCATTCTAGCAGGTATCTATATGCAATTTGTATTATGAATATGGCTTGCCTCTTTAAAGACCTCAGCAGGAACACCTTGCTTTCCAATAATTGATAAGTACAGTTCCCATTCAAATGGTTTTTCTTTGCCAACTGAAAAATAAACATATTATGTTCAATAAGATTACGAAAACCATATTTAGGCGTCTGGCATATTGTAAGCAACAAAATAAATTCATGGTTTACAATACCTATATTTCAATGATAAATTTGCCTTGCAGAAGTCGTTGTTAAAGGCACTTGACATGCATAAGTACGGCGAATCCAAAAATAACATAGGCCGAATTGATCAGAGAACGCGCACAAGAAAGAAATTGGAAACTGCTCAGGTGAAACCACTGCGCACTGCTCTAGGATTTCACCGATTTGCAGAAAGGCAGAAACTGTTTTTCTCTGTGCACAACTTCATTGGTCAACCGCCCGTGGTCGAGTGGCTGTAAGCTGTTACCTGTATAAAATGCCCGAAAGGTATCCTATTTTTACAACCAGTAAAAAAGAAAACTTTAGTTACGTGATACAAATACCCATGTTTTCAAGGTCTTCGTATACTAACTGAACAAAGACTCTAACAAATACATGCCGTATTTATGCATGCCCAGCTTCAACTATCATACATTCTTCCAAATCGATTCTGCTAGGAGGGTGTTGCATAGGCTAAGTAGCCCCTCTTACCCTCGAACTTATAAAGTTACGAGAAGTTAAGAAAATATCATTTAATCACGATAATTCTTCAGTTCTAAAAATATGTAGATTAATAAAGTCACTGAAGCTATATACAAACGCTGACCAAAGTGTTAATTGATCTTGCAGCGGGTTGTGCTCTGCATTCGAGTTAACTGCCACGGAAAATGTTTACTTCTTAAAGGCTCTTGCGCAACCGGCATGCTTTGCCACTACATTATCAAAACCAGCCTTAGATCGTATTGCACAAACACAATCAATTTCTCAAGACAGCTGCCGCTAAGCATGCCCATTGCGCAAGAGTTTTTGAAAGGAAAACATTATCTGGCTTCTCAACTTAGAAGTTGAGCCTTTGAAGCATATTTCAGTCCGACCCGTGGTAAATGTATATAATTTATGTAACAACATTGTAACTAGACACTTGAAACATAAAGTCAGAAATTTAGCAATTGCAACGAATTTACATCATTGAAAGCATAAAAAGGGGCTAACAACACCTTGTTAGCTACATCTTACCTGCACTGTAAAAGAAATGTGCATCATCCGTAAGAGAAAGCTTGGCCTTTTTGTTTTTGACATCTTCGGGGCCTATCAAAGGCAGCATTGGAGATGATATGCCATGAAATTCCTAACAGAGAAATTGCGATATGTAATTAGTAAAGTTATCTGGAGGATCGTTGTCGATCACAAAATTGTAGAGTGAGGGTAGGATAGAAAAAATACTAGAATTTGCAATTATAATGATAACAAAAGCCAAATAATACAAATACGAACAACGATGATACAAAATACTGTGCTATGAATGCTCGGCACATGTTATGAAAACAAGAGAGAATTTCAATCATTTTGAATAGCTTTCATTTTGTCTTGGCTGTCTAAATCTTATATTGTAAGAATTATTGTCATCTTGGATTGTAAACCAAGGCCAGAATTTTTTAAACTTGGCGAAAGAAAGGGCAAGTAAAGCTAATTGCGAAAATTCCCCCATATCAAAAGAAAGACCTTCATTTTAAGTTTGAAAAATTAATTATGAAGTATTGTTACAGCCTTCGATTGAATTCACATAAAGTACAATACAAACCTTTTCAAACAAATAGTTTTTACGCTTCATTCCTTTCCCTCCCTTCTTGCCGCCATCTTTCTTATGACGTCTCCGTTTCTTTTGCTCCAAAACCTCTCCTCCGGCAGCCGCTGCGGCCAGTGTATCAGCTCTGCATTTGCTTGCGTATGCTCCTACGCACCTCTGACTGCAAAATCGGCCCGACGCGCAAAACTCCGAACTTAACCCTGTTCGACCGCAAATTATACATTGCAGCATTTCGTCTGGTTTTTTCTTCCTTTTCGAGCCTTTCTTCTTTTTGGGTTTCTTTACTTCGTTGTCGAGCATCATTACGTCCGGTGTTTGGCTAGAGTCTAAACTGCTGCTAGTGGGACTGATAGAGTTGTTGCTGTTGCTTCGTGCTATTGATTCTCCAGGCTCCGTACCTTTGCTGCGATTTTTCATTTCATCGGCAATAGGAGTGGTGTCCTCGTCACGTGATTCGAGGCTACTCTGCTTCGACTCGTTTCCTAAAGTAAATACTACAGCGATTAAAAATGTCAACGACATGGAGTGACAGCCCGCTCCATACTGAGTAACAAACACGGTCCACGATCGATCAACCCTGGAAATGGGTGGAAACTGTTGGGTGGAATCTCATTTAGCATTCAGAAATAGGCTTCAAAGCGTTGCTTCTTGTATGCCACAAGAAACCCCACAACGCAGCCAACTTTTCAAGGTAATAAGATGGCGAGGAAGGTTTGGTAAGTGAGAAGGATAGAACGAGTAGAAATGAGAACTACCTTGGACCAAAAATTCATAGAATGGATGTGAAGGCGAGTAAGAAGCGTGGGACTGAAAAAGTATGGTGTTCAAATAAAAACATTATTTTGCCTAAAGATTATCAAATTTGATATTTAAAGGTAGGAAATAAAAGGATTTGTGATATAAGCCAGTCAGTTTGATGTTTTACAAAATTTTTGATCGTACGTGCTTGATTTCCTATACAAGTAGAGAGGGTGCACAGCTCTTAGATATTTATCTGTAAGTTGTGATATTTTATGTCTGTAGCAATTTGGAAGTGGATATTTTAGGCTTATTTGCATATCATATGATATTTTTGGTTGCATTCACAATTTTCTAGACTTTCTTTAACGTTCTAATACTGCGTGCATAATACTGGGTCCGACAAATTTGGAACAAAGACAAAAAATAGTAGCAGAAGCATTTGATTACCTGGACTCGACGATAATTTTTCGATATGAATGTCTCTGTTTAATTCCTCCATTTCAATTTCTTGTTTATCAATGTCGTCATCCCTAGTCGACGTGACTTCATTCGTTTCCATAGAGGAGCCTTCCTTAGAAGAACCTGAAATGGTTGCATAACATGATTAGCCTAGGCCCAATCTACAAACACAACGGTGTAATGAAAATATCTAAAAAGGTCAATAGCTCAATCACTCAATCACTCAGGATGATAATTATGCACTATCAACAAAGAGTGTTCGATTACACACTTTACTGTTTTCAGCAATTTATGAAAACAAATTTAACAGTAGAAAAGACTGTACTGTAATACTTTTTTGTCTGGTTTAGCAGCCAGTCTGGGTGCAAAGCTGGTTTAGATCATATGCTCGATAACTTCGTTTCTCAATTGCAACGCTTTTAAATCATGATTGTGAATATACAATTATAAACAAAATTGAAAAATATGGCTCCAAAAAAGTCTAAAAGGTTCTTGCGAAGATTTGAGTATTGTGCTCTTAAATGGGGTGTCAACGTGGAGATGAAAATAATATATATCAAAAGAGGGGGATTTGACTTTGTAGTTTGCGGCATGAAGGGTATCCAAACAAAAAGTAATTTTTATGATTAAAAATTTGGATGCATAAAACTTAGGTAGCTTAGGGAGAAGATTTTTCATGAAGGGGGGCGGGGCGTAGAAATATCATAAAAAACGTAACAAGAATCTATATAAAGAGAAACATGTGATTGATACACGAATGGGCAATGTCGCAGATTGAATCCATCTTCAATCTTATATAGAACAGATATCCTATCCCTGTTCGGAGATTAGATTACAACATTCAATCAATCAATCAATCAAAAACTTTATTAATGTGTCAGAAAATATTTAGCTTACTAGCTAATATTTAGCATACATTACCTTTTGGGATTTCTTTTTCGTCTCTGCTATTGTTTTCAACTTCCATTGATACAGTTTTCTCTTCCATGTTCATGTTAAATCTGTAAAATGAAAGTGACATTGGCCATTTAAATTTTCCTTTTATGACCAAATGATATCCACCATCCAAGCTGTGCATCGATTGGAAAAATCTTAATTTGCTTAAGGCTCTTGAACCTCAAATTATTTGAAAAAAATGAAAAAATATCAGATAAAGAAGAGACAAATGGGCAGATGTCAATAATGAGACTCATTCAAGACAATAAAGCATGTCATTGATTTTGTGAAATTTCCCATTTCAAACGCTGAGCCTTTTATGAAGAATCCTCCATATAACAAGTTGAAAAAAACCACTTTAGTTGGCACAAAAATCTACAAAACCTGACTTTATGAATTCCATTAGCTACAGTTCCAAAGTACGGAAAACAGGACAACCGCACGACCACAATGAACTGAACATATTTAGTGTGCTAAATTCTAGCATATAATAAATAAGATTATTTCACACACTTTGGACTCCTGAAATCTGATTTCAGATTTTTCTAGTTAAACAAAATAACAGTGTTGAAGAATACCTCTTCAATAAGGGGTTAGGGTTAGGGTTAGGGTTAGGGTTAGGGTTGGGTTAGGGTTAGGGTTAGGGTTAGGGTTGGGGTTAGGGCTCATGGTATTATCAATAGAGCTCATGGTACAATTGTTTTGGGGAGGGCAATAAAAATAATCCTTATAGAGATGTATTGTATTCGATGTACATCCAATGATTCGGATAACGGAAAAAAAGCAATAAAATAAGTGGGTAGCGTTGACGAGACTAATTGTACGATACCCTTCACAGTCCACCGCACCTGACTTATTCGGAAGAGCTATGAAAACAGATTTTTTTAAATCATCGAGAAATTTTCCATCATCATACATTTTATTGATTACATTCGTCAATTTTCCACTCCGTACTCTTCTAATGTTACCAATTCGACAACTACTCCATCTGGCCCTGCCACTTTATTTTTTTTCATCTATCTAATCGCAGCATGAACATCTGAAATTAGAATTTTGGGTCCCTCAATTTGATCTGGTTTCCTTACATCGTGAAATAATTCTCCAATATATTCCGTCCACCGAGCTAGAATATCGTTCTTTACAACCAGTATTTTTTCATCCTTTGTTTTGAAACATCCAGATTTTGAGCAAGTAGTTTTTCTCTTTGATATTTCATTTATTCTCCTATGTGCATTATCCATCCTCTTTTCAAATTCTTCCCATTGAGCATTCAACCAATTCTCTTTGGCTTCCCGACACATTTGTTTGATATCTCTATCTAGAATTTTATGTTCATCGATCTACTGCCTGCTCCTTATCAGTGATAGAATCTCTTCTGTCATGCATTTACTTTTAATTATTTTGTCTTTCTCTGGAACCTTTTATTGTGAACAATATCGTACCGTACCATTAGTCTCATGAGTCACATCACGAAGATCCTCATGAGAGCGAATCTCACCAGAGATTGGAATAGTGCAGTTCGGTTTTGTGAAACTCGGGAACTAGGAATGTCATTTTTGTGCTGAGGACGATAGCAGAAAGAGCTGTGGAAATGCAAAGAGCTGTGTTCATCTGTTTCATTGACTACAGCAAGAAATTTGATAAAGTTCGTCATGATGACATGTTTGAGGAACTCCAAAAGTTGGATATGCATGGAAAAGATCTCCAATTGCTGCAGAATCTCCAATTGCTGCAGAATGGTGAATGCAGTAACTACACAGATATTGCAAGAGGGGTTAGACAAGGATGTGTGATGTCGCCAGATCTTTTCAACTATTAAACTGAAAAGATCTTGAGAGAGATAAATAACGAGAAAGGTCTGTGGGTAAATGGAAGCAGTATCGCTAACATAAGATATGCAAATTACACAGTTTTGTTAGCTGAATCTGCCAGTGATTTACAAAAGCTTCTTGATGTTGTCGTAAAAGAGAGTGAGAAAAAAGGTCCGAATATAAACTGTAACAAAACAGAATTTTTAGTCGTTTCAAAGAAAAGGGAACGTTCTGTGTTTACACTGAGAGTAAAGGACCAGAAAATTATACTAGGTGTGTTGCAGCGATCAAACGAAGGGTAGTATTAGCAAAATCTGCATTTCAAAAATTGGATAACATTTTGAGAAACTGCAAGATGAGTATATCAACGAGATTTCGTGTGCTAAACTGCTATGTCTATCCTGCTCTGTGCTATGGGAGTGAGGCATGGACATTAACGGCAGATTTGAAAAAGCGCCTGGAAAGCTGAGAGAATACCGTAGATAGACAAGGAGAGCAACGAAGGAGTTCTTGCAAGAGCAGGTATAAATAGAAGGCTTATTAAGGACATCAGAATGAGACAGATGCGCTACTTGGGACACGTGCTTCGGAAAGAGGGACTTTAGAACTTGGCACTAACTGGAAAGATAGAGGGGAAATGAAGCAGGGGAAGGCAGAGAATAAATAAATACCCTAGCTGGATGGATCCAAGAAAATGATATAACAATCAAGGAGACAGAACTAATACACATGACTAAGAACAGAGAATTGTGGCAAAGCATGATCGCCAAAGTCGCATGATATGGCACCAAATAGGGAGAGAGATAGAGGAGAGCGTTGACGAACTGATTCAAAAATGGCGTTTCTGTAATCTAAAAGGACATGGCCTTCAACGTTGCCAAAGGATTTTCTGACACTCTTAGCTTTGTGTCGAATCCTATCGCAAAAAAAGTTGAATAATAAGATTTGCAATCTGAAAGAACTGCAATCCTTTTAACCAAAGTGGACTCAAGACATATTAGACATTAAATAAAATAATATATTACTATTGTTAGAGGATGAAGCACGTGTTAGCATGTGGCAAATAGCTATATTGAAGCTGTATTGAATTACTACAGTCTATGGTGTTTACCCACTACAATAGGGTGATTCCCCCTGGACATGTGTCCCTAAAATTGCAAAAACACAAGCAGGGGCGTAGAAAGCATTTACACGTATAACTAGGGGACATGACTTTGGAAGGGCGCTTATCATGACCAGGAGTTACCAACAAGTTCTGGCCAAAAGGGCACTGTGACTAATGTGACTGTACAAATTCACCATAAAAGGGTCATCCTTCTGTTGAAGGACACTAGCAAACGCCGGGAGTTGTTTCTACGTCTCTAAATACAATCTAGCGACTTTGCCAACTGCCGCGACAATTAGGGGAAGGTTATATGACACCCTTTAACTAAACATTGAAACTGTCTCAGTAGCTGGGCTAGCTCGCTTTGTTCCATGAATTCAGACAAACCTTGTCTTACTAAGACAGTGGCAGATATAAGGGGGGCAGTTGCCCCTCCCTCGACAAGTTGAAGCAAGTCTAGCGCCCCTTTTTTGGAAATTGTGCGCCACTTTCGAAGAATAAGAATCAGGTGAAAAAGTTTCTGAGACCGATAGGTTAATTTGCTTCAAGGATTACCTCAAAGTTATGTTGTTTATTCCAAAAATGGATCTGAAATTGTGGTATACAGCGTACTCTCGTCACCAATTTTTGAAAAGTTTTCAGCGCCCCCACTACCAACTGCCCCTCCTTCAAATTTGCTCTGGATCCGCCCCTGTACTAAGATATGAAAACTTTGTAGACCGGCACCCGATGTGGCTGGGTTCAGCCAACCGGACTGTCCTTTTAAGTACTGACTGTCTTGGTAATTATTTCAAAGAAAAACAACAATCCAAATTTTGATAAACTTCTTTTAGAAATCACACACCAGGGCCTGATTATAAACGAACTTGGGCGTTACTCAAAACCACATTGAAAAGCATCTTGATATTATTTGCAGACTTAGCTATACCCTGGGTACCAGACTCACTATATAAAATAACAGAGTGTACCAGACACTATATTTTATTTCATATATAGTGAGTCTCGTACCCAGGGTAGCTTAGTTATCACTAGATGCATATTGAAACTGGCGGATATGGTAAATAACCTACGCCCAAGGAAAACAGAATCTAGAAAACGAATTTCGTTTTGTAATGGTTTGCCTTTTTTTCCGTAGAAAGAAATAAACTGCTGGTAAAAATTGAAAAGAAGTGTCCTAATATCCACAAGTGCAGGGCCTCCGAAGAAGGGGGTGGGGGCCAGGCCGGGGCGGCATCACCCACTTGTCTCTAGGAGGGGGGTGACAAAACAAAAACACTCCTTTACCAACAAAGAACGCCAATTGTACCGATAGGAAATGCCAATGGTTACGTGTAGGCAGTTTCAAAATAATAGGAATACACGCATCTTTTATACGGAACTTACCTCGAGGCCTAGTTCCAAATATTCCTTATTCGTAGACCTCAATGTGGCACCAAAAGTTCCTTAATAGTTCCTTAATTTGTTTTGACTACAATAAGCCTTAACATTTAATAGAGAGAGGGGCAGGAACCGCGCAGCCATTGGGCTAGCAGAGGCTATAGCCCCTCCACTTTTTTGCAATAATTTGTTAGAAAACTTTGTGGAAAGTTTACTCTAACTATGCTCTAACGCAACATTGAATCGTATACTCCTAAGGAGTAGCAGTTTTTCTTAACTGGGAACCCTTTTTGTTCATTTTATAGGTGCTCTTCTTGCTGTTTTATTATTCCCAAGCTAATTTTTTTTTTTAGCTAAAACTACTGAGGTTTTTTTAAAACCCCAGTAGAAATAAGCCAGTATTTTCAAAAAGGGGCGTTTTATGGCGTTCTAGTGTGCGTGGAATAAAAAAAAAATCTGTCACGCCCTCTTCAGCCCTCCTACATTTAAACTGGTGCGCGGTCCCTAGAGAGGGGCGAGACAGCATATGCGGAAACTACTCAATGAAGCACTTGACACCCGAATAGCAAACAATCTATGCGAGTATTGGCTGCAAATGAATGGAACTAGCTTTTTAGTTCTTGATGCTTGTAGTTATAAACATTTTTCAAATCGAAAAGTTCCAAAGGGATTTTGTTTTTAGTAGTATAAGTTCTTTAAACATTTCGGCCTTCTACATGTAGGTTTCCTTATAAAGTGCTTCCTAATAAAAAAGCGTGTACATCACCAAAAA